TTGGTACCTCAAACAAATGAGAGTTACAGATAAAATTGTTGAAATCTGCTGCCCCTTCATCTTTAAAGACAGTTTTTCTTTTCGAAGATTTTCTTTGACTTCCTGTTATACTTGTTCGGTTCTTAATATATTTTTTAAAAGTTGCTTTAAAAAAAACCTCTAATCAAACAACCTCTTAGGGGTTGTTTGGCAGTTGCTGAACGGTTTAGTGCAGAATGATTAAGTGGTCAGAATGATTAAGAGACTCTCGTGATATAATGCAAAATGAAATATAATTGTTTGGTAATTGTTTAAAGTGAAATTAGGGGATTGAATAGTTAAGGGAAGCTCATGATACAAAATTATTCAGAGAGTTTTATAACTATTAAGAGTCAGACTTTTTTTTTGCTAAACAAGATTCACCTCTTAATGATTCTAAACAAACAACCCCTTAATCTAATTTGTCTATTAACCATTTTAACCTACAATGACACTTAAACTAATTCGTTTGGTATTGTAATTACGGAAAATTGGAAATATATAATTATTTATTAATCATTTTAAAAATATATAATTATCGGACAAAATACGCAAAATAGCAACCTACTTTTACAAATTTCTTTATTATAAAATTCTACTTTCACTTTTTCTTATTACAGCAATGTACTTTCAAAATATTTTTTTATTAGGACATTGTACTTTAAAAATTTACCCGTTATAGCATTGGGTAACCTGCTACCTTTTGAACATGTTTTTCTTTGTTGACATGTCAAATTTAAACTGACATGGAAACCATGTATGATAACCTGTGACACGTGGATATCTTACATGTCATTTAAAAAGAAAATTTTAATTTWAAAACAATTTTTGAAAATGAAAAACGCTCAATCTCTCTCATTGTTCAGACTGTTCCTTCTTCTTCCTGACCGTTCGTTCACCCTTAATCTCTCAATCCTTTTCCTCTTTGACATAATCGATCTTCACCCTCAATCCCTCAATCCTGTTCCTCTTTGACCTAATTGACCTTCACCCTCTTCTTCCTGATCAAATCTAAACCCTAATCGACTCACTCTCATCGACTTCCTCATCGCGCATCCTGTTCCAACAVGTAAGTTCAATATGTTTTTCAGCAATGTATATGTACATTTTATGTTTCTCTATACGCATCCTGTTCCAATAGGTAACTCTTCTACCATATAAGAATCAGCATCTCACTCTAACTACACTTTTAGTTATCAATGAATAATACTAGGGACTCACCTTGAATGGTAGATGCAGTTGCATAAGCAGGAGGRTTCAGAAGTAGATCTCTAATATAGCTGTTACCGAAATACGAATAACATAATATATAAGCAAATAAATTTAATGAAAAATGTAAGCAATAAAACATGACAGAATGCTTTCTACAARGCTTCATCACTTAGAGTGTCCTTTACACAGGTTATGCTGAATACAAGAATAAAGATATGTCCATCCCTTGCTAAACCTTTTTCTTTTTCCTGTTGACCACTTGTAGCATAAAAAAAGTTTCTAAGTATTGATACAAATTATGGTTTCAAGATGGTTTGTATAATAATAAAATACTATGAATATGTGATGTAATGGTGGACCCAGGGCCGTCCCTGGGGGAGGGCGACACGGGCGCACGCCCAGGGCCCAAAAATATTAGGGGCCCAAAATTTTCCCCTAAACTACAATAATAGTCTAAAAGATTTTAATAAATTAAAGAAATCCAAAAATTGTAACATATAATTAGAGACAAAAAGAATTTAGTAGAAAATAAGGGCTTAAAAATATATCAACTAATTACACTGGAGAAGAAAAAAAATTAATTGGTCATTCATTATATGCTATTGTTTATTTCCTCTCTACTTTTTTTTTATCTCCAACAAGGTCCAATGATATTGGTTATTGTTATCTCTAAAAACTTGACTGTTTTCGTACTTCAATAATTCAAAGTTAAGATCATGTGCTTGCTATTGCTATATATATTTTTTGGATATTTTATCAATTTATGCTTTTATTGACTATTGCCATTTGGTTATCTTGTTCTAATTGTTTTTATTGACTATTGTTATCTATTTTTGCTTCTACATAAAATATTTTACTATTATTTGACAATCAATCTATTGTTCTTATAATTTTTGACTTGTTTCATGGTTTTGTGATTAATCAATAAATTTTTCTACTAGATGTATTTAGTAATTCTCTTATATATGTCATGTTCCATAATTTTAATCTTAATCACAAGGGTGGTGCCTGATTGGTTTGAGTTTGGCTCCAAATGTCAAAAGTACCAGAAGGTCTCAGGTTCAAATCCAAGGAGGAATAAAAATCCTCTTGTGTCTACGGAGGTTCAAATGCGGTGACTCCGGGCTATTTGCAAAGCAGGTGGTCGTCCTGGGATTAGTCGGCTAGCATAGCGGGTTGGATATCCAGGTTAATCAAAAAAAAAATCTTAATATCTTATTTTGGTTGAGCAAAAAAAGAAGGAAAATATAATTTAAATGTTTTCATCGATTGTTTGACTTATGTATCTTTCATTGAGATTCCACCACACCATAAAATTCTATTTAAGTGCTCAAACAATTATTTGTTGAGCTTGTATATCATATGTTAATTTCATTATTTATTCTTATTGGATCTCAACAGATCATTTTTTTTCTTTTATATTTTTATTGATCCTCATTTGTTTACTTGTCAAGAAAACCTTGATAATCTTCTTTATTATTGATCTCTCATTGACTCTAATGATTACTTCATTCACACGAATTATCTTTTTATATCAAAATAACACATATTTCTTGCTATGAACTAAAAAAATTCTTACTTTTTATAAAAAATTATCAACCATAGTTTATATACTCTTGGTTTTAAATTACCTAATAAGAAGTACGTAAATTTAAGTACTCACTTATATATATATATATATATATATATTATAAAGATAAATAAGATTTCTTTCATCAGTAAATTATTAGCATTTCTTGTACTCAATTTTATACTAATAAAAAACATTTATTGAATTTATTTTCATACTTACCGAATGTTACTACAAAAAAAAATGAGTTTTGACGAAGCTCCTTTTAGCGATAACATGTTTCCGCCACAAGTTATAACATCGACATGTTGTTGGTGTACTCTTTCTGATGATAAATGGATATTTAGCGACGACAAAAGTCGTTGTTAAAAACCTTGTTTCTTGTAGGGCCCCTGTTCTTACATTCGCCCAGGACCTAAAAAATGTTAGGAACGGGCCTGGGTGGACCAATAAAGTTAGACTAAGGGGCCATTTACAAAACACTTACCCGGGTAATTTTTACCAAGTCATGTTACTTCACCGGAGGAATATGGTAAGGACCAAAAATCTTACCCGGTAAGAGCAAAACAAGGACTATGAATCTTACCCGGTAAGTGAGGGCGACGACTCTTACCACGGTAAGCATTTACCGGGTAATTATTGCATAAGATGTCGTTTTGGTGGATTAAAATCTTATCGATACGTAAATAATAGTGTTAAATTTCACCGGTAAATAATAGTAATGTTGATGAGATGATGTTACAAGATACGTTTATACAGAGAAATTAGAAACATAAAACCTTAAATAGCATCTCGTTACGTATGCTAACTACATGCAAGTTTCGATGATAACTGATATAATATAATTATGACGATGTGAGACAGCTCCTAATGATTATATAATTAGGTAGGCCACATGATTATATTGATGGTTCTTTTGTCTGTTTTTTTTTATACTAAGGTTATCCTAGATGCTAAATTCTTTATGTTTCTTTATCTTCAGGATGACATCTTCATGCAATATCTTTTGAGGTACATTACACAGGTGTTTTTGTATTTTGGCCACTTGAATATGCTAACGGGTTAAGAATTTTTTTTGAAACTTTTGACACTGTCAACATCGAATACATGGATTTTGTTGCTTTTTTGAAGAATGAAACACACACGTTGAAAGATGTCATAACAGTAGATCATGCAAGAATGAGAAAAAAGATGCACCATTGAAAGACATCAGACCATCAGGCAGGCCTAGGACTAATTTTCATAGACAAAGCAGTAAAGGGGGTACACGAGGCGGAACGGGTTCACAAAGGGATGTTAAAAAGATAATGTAAAATCTTCGAGTTTCATACTAATTTTATATATCAATTGCATACTAATTTGTTCACTAATTTGAACATGAACCATCTCAAATGGAATCACGACCAAAGCTCATCCCTAAAAAAAGGAGGCCAAGTGGAATGATAACTTTGAACAACCTACGAAAAAATACAGTTGAGAAAGATGGAGAAGGTAGTAGTTGTGGTAAGGCGGTTCCACTTGATTAAATAACATTGTTAGACGAATGTGAATACGTTAGTTTTTTTGTTGAAAAGATGTCCAATTGTTTAGGTTTTGGTATTACAAAGTAAGCCATGAAATTTATGATGAACTCGATGAATGAATGATTTTTTTGGATATTTTTATAAGTGAAATAGTGATATTTTCTAAACATGTTTAATTTATGGTATTATATTTTTTGTGCATTTTTCCTTTAAATTTACAATGTTTAAATAATAAAAATATTAAAATTAAAAGTATAATGTTGTAATAGAAATTGGTGATCTTAAAATAAAGTAATTTTGAAAGTACAATGCTATAATAAAAAATGTCATGTCAGCACTACAATACATGTGGACAGTCTACGTGGACAATGAGGTGGCAAAGAAACCTGATATAATGGGTAAATTTAATTTAAAAGGTTACTCAATGCTATAACGGGTAAAGTTTTGAAAGTACAATGCCCTAATAAAAAATATTTTGAAAGTGCATCACTGTAATAAGAAAAAATGAAAGTAGAATGCTATAATAAGGAAATTTGTAAAAGTAGGTTGTTATTTTGTGATTTTTCCCATAATTATTTAGTGGTTAAATTGAGAGATTTTAAACTTCATGGGTCGAAAAGGGCAAAATCCCAATCCTACCAAAGAAAGGGGGAAACTCGATCAATTCTCCAGAGTTGTTGAGAATCCTCTTTCTAGCAATTGATCTTTGTTATTCGGGTCCACATCGATTCTACCCGACCCGACTGAGTTCGTCCTCTGCTTAAACTGGTTGGTAATCATATCTCCTTCAGTTTCTTTCTTGGTAATTGTTGTGATTAGGATTCAATCGACACTAGTTATGAATTTAGGTTTAATTTTATGTTTAATTGCTTCGTAATTATGTTTCTTACGTACAAGTAGCGAATATCATTTCTACTTGAAGGAATTTTGGTTGAATTCGTTATCACCATTGTTGACATGGACTAATTTTGAATGATTGTACAATCAATTAGAGGAATTACCACTCGATTCTACAGTTGCTCTATACTGCTTTTCATATTTACGAATGGCATAGATATGTCTCCTAGAAGTTGATGATGTGAATCATGAGAGAGTAATCAATTTGTATGTGCTAAATTCAATAAGTTTGATAAATTTGGGATCTTGTGTACTAACTTTTTCAGTAGTTGTGTTTCTTATATAGTTCCTTGATTGTAATTAAGGAGATCATCTTTACAGGTTCATATAACTTTTTATGTTTGTCTCAAATAACTTTTCCTGTTTGGCTCATGTTGAGGAATGAAAATGAAAATTACAGGAATTTTCATTCCCAAGGTTCAACCAGGAATGAAATTTTGGGCTTCGAGTGGAATGAGCCTATTATATTATAGAAAACCAAATAGTTTCTTTTATTTTCATTCCTATTGATTACTGCTTAATACCTCTAACCAAACACCCCCTGACTTAAATTTTGACTTTTAGAAGTTAGATTTGGATTTTTTTTGTATATTTGATTCACTTTGAATGATCAACATTTCAATCCACCATGCCTGCCACATGGTTGCTACTTGCTACTAACAGTGTGCTTCCCAAAATGCAAAGAAAAAAGGAAATTGAATATGGACCATTCCTTAACTGATTTCACTTGTATTACACCAAATGTTGACAAAATGAATCAATTTACCTTGTAAATAACAAAAAAAATAAAAATGTGTTTGCCAATAAATAACAGAAGTTAAAGAATTGTTTGATGGGATTGATACCATTAACTTGAATTTTCCTACATGGTATAAAAATTGACAATTTTTTAATTAGAGAACATAAAACTGTAAAACTACTAAAAAATGTGCTTGAATAGTGAACAACATCCAGCCCACAGTCCGGGTGGGGGGGGGTTACATATACCGTTTTATACATTCTTCTTCTTTGTGCCTCTTGGTGCATTCTTTGAGATTTTTTTCTCTAGTTTCTCATTATTCTTGTGGTTTCACCATAAGTGGCTTTAGTACAATATATAAGAAGAAAACAACTTTCTAACCCTAAAGGATACACATCCTCAAGAAAGAACAAGGAAGATTAAAATTTGGAATAAAAAAAAAGTTGCATGAAGCATAATTCGCAAGCCAATGAGGCAACACATTTGTTGGTAAGTCTTGTTGTTGGATAATACATATATTTTGTCAAATTTTGGTGTAATGTAGATGGAATTGATTAATGGCATTAATGTCTGTAAAATAACTATCCTTTTTGTCATTGCTGTCAACCAGAACATCTATTGCCATTTAGGAAGTACTTCGGTTCAGATGGTTGATTTTTGGTGACACGCAGCTAAAATCTGTTAATGTTATTAATGTGTTAAGCAATCATCTATCTTTGATAATTTGGATGTTCTTTTCGCACTTAATGAATGTTGGTTGTTTAACAACGAAGTGCAAAGTATGATGGCCATAAATGCTAATCACTATGTCTAGCTTTCAAAAACTATCATTATGCTAGACTTCAGTGATTTGCTAGATTATCATATTTGAGAACAAGGGACTGCCAAAAGTTTATAATTTTTCTATTCGTTTCAAAGTTTACTTTTTGGTGAACTTCATTTACACCCTCTAAAATCTGCTCTCAAAATATCATCCTGTAGGTCAATCTGTCATGGACCGTTGGAGTGGAATATTGAAGGTTCCTATGTTTCCAGGTAGCAGAGGTCACTATAAAGTTGCAGCATCTCTATGTATCTCAACTTCTTCTAGAAACCCAACTGTAAGTCTATCAAAATCCAAAATACCACAGATTAACATTAACATCACATAGCATTTGATGATAGGGGATGCAGATGGTCATTTCTAAGGGATCCGAGTTAGCTCTTTCAAAGCTACAAACTTCATCAGTCTCATTTAGCAGCATCTGTAAAATCATAATTAATTTGGATTCATGAAAGTGTACTTATTTGGGATGCGTTACAATTCTCATGTTTCATATTTTCTAGTATAAAAACTAGAATTACTAGGGATGTACAATAGAAGATTATGGAACTTAACTATGCCTCAGTTCAAAAACCTCATACATCCTTTGTCCCATGAATTTATGAAACTTATTTTGTCACATACATGCTTGGAACAACACAGTAATCACTGAGAAGCTTCTAAAGTTGTGTGCCAGAAACTGGTTGTTGAATTTTCGTTGGACAGGAGGGGGTGGGCTTTATTTTTCCTCACTGTACAGAAAGCATACATCATAAAGCTCGAAACTTTAGAGTGTGCTTTGTAGAGTGAAACTCCCTTTTTTACCGTCTGTTACATGCTGGCTTTTAAACTTTCATGAACCAAATTTGTAGTAATCAAAAGGTAAATGCAAATTAAATCTAGTTTTCTATTGAATTTTGGTACATAAATGTTTATATTACTTGAACTATGCAGGTGCCTTCTATGAATGCTATTTTCTTTAATGGCGACAGAGTCAGAGGGACCGGGAATCCAGTGATTGATAGACTGTCTGATCTTGAAAGAATAGCTGAAATTATTGTTTCGAAACTTGGTGAAAATGTTAATGCCTGGGTTATTGAGGCTTCTAAGTTTAATGGACCCTTTGCTGTTTACAAGGATTTCATCCCATCAGTAAACCAGTGGGGAGAACCGAAATCATACAACGCAACTGGATATCCAGCTTCTACATCCATTGTTTCACTGTTATCAAGTTGTCTCACAGAGGTATAGTGACTTTAAAAGTCGTTATATTCTTATTCATTACATTTGCTTGTGGAATACTCCCTTTCACACACTTTTCACTGGCTGTGGGCATTCATGGAAACAATCTCTCTACTCTTTAGAGTAGAGGTCAGACAGGTCAGGTCTGAGTACATCTTAAACCCCCCCCCCCCCAAAAAAAAATCCAGACCTCACCTCCAGCACGTTTGACGCGACATTAGACTGGGGCATAACAAGACCGAGTGGGACAAAAATGCATTTTTTCTGTCCCACCATAATAGGTGGAACAAAAATCAGGGAGATTTGACAAGATTGATAAATTACTAAACTACCATGTCAAATTAAATCCCAAAACCTACCGAAATTCTTTCACCCGCATACCTCACTGTCACTGTCACCCGTCCAGTCTCGTCCGTATATAATGGTGGACCTAGGATTCTTTTTGCCGAGCTGGTGCACCTTTAAGGTGGATCAAAGGCCCGCAAAGTCGTCCGATGTGTTTTTAGCTGAATTCCAGCGCACCGAGGGATTTTTCAAGTTTTTTGGTTGATTTCGAGCGACTTTTTTCGGTTTTTTGATTGATGTTCCTTGTATTTTCTAATATCCTGGAGCACCCTTCAAAGTTTAGCGGGTACACCTTTCATACCCCAAAAAAGAATTCTACTTACGAAAATAAGTTGAGCCGGTGCACAGGACCCCACTTGAGGCTTAATGGGTCCTCTCCTGCCCACGTACCAAACGCACCCATCTTGTACTTAGAGCCCATGAAACTGCTAACTTGGCTATGGGCTACAAATCTTGGAGGCTAAATGGTCTGTTGTTTCTTTTTTCTCACTTTCCAGGCTAAAAATATCATTTCAAATAGGCTTGAGGAACCATCTGCCATTGAAGCTCCAGGGTCATGTTTTTCTCAACCGAAAACATTGCTGTTTGGATTCAGCAAGGGTGGCACTGTACTTAACCAGCTAGTTACCGAGCTTGCCTTTTCCGAACTCAATTCAATCACAGTTCCGTCCCAAGACAAAAAAGAGATTATTCCAACTTCAAAAGAAAGTCTTCTAAACAGTATAACTGAAATCCATTATGTGGATGTTGGATTGAACTCTAATGGAGCATATATTACTGATCAAGACACCATCGGTAGAATCTCTAAACGTCTTTCAGAAGGAGCCACGGGAATACGCTTTGTTCTTCATGGAACACCAAGACAATGGCGTGATAGCATGCGGGTTTGGGTTGGGAAGGAAAAAGACACGATGGTTCATCTTCTTGATGCTGAATCTCAACTTTGCGGTGAAAAATTGAGCGTATGTGAAAGGTTTTATTTTGCTAACAAGCCAGCCAATATGCAGATGCATTTCGAAGTAATTGAAAGCATGGATATTAGTTGAGTTCTCTGATCTTGTTGACTAGACGGGTCCTCTGGTTAAATGACCTTCTGATATGTTTGAGAATGATACTGCATCACAGAAGAATGTCTAGAAACCTGTCAGAAGGTTATAGATTTAAAACGCACTTATTGGGGGGGGGGGGGTTTATTTAGTTAAATGACCTCCTGACATGTGTCCTTTTTGACATCTTTTATTTAAAATCCATGATTCCGACAGGTTTGAGAATGTCACTCCTCAACAAAAAATGCCACTTCCATACACAAGGCCTAGAAACCTGTCAGAAGGTTATAGATTTAAAAAACATTTGTCAGGAGGTCATTTAGCTGAATAACCGTGACAGAAAGGATACATGGATCACTTTGTTACTGTATTAGATTAGTCACTTAACATGTAGGGGCTAGGGTTAGCGAGTATGTAGTTAGGTTATCAGAACCCTAAGTTAAACTATGAGTGAGTCTGTAGTTAGGTTATCGGAACCGTAAGTTAAACTATGAGTGTGTAGTTTCTGCACTTTGGTTATGTTTCTTTTGTACTTGCTTCTTTTTATATCGTTTTTATTTATACATATCCAGTTTCTAAAAAAATTAGCTTATCCGTCTTTCTCTATTTCTCTTCCTATTGTTGCTCGTATCACATTTTCAATGTTCAACTTATCTGTTTTTCTCCATTTCTCACACTTTTCGCTAGCGGTAGTTTTCACAGAAACAACCGATCTACTTTAATGTATACTATAGCAAATATAATGACTACAGATACGAGATTTATACCAAAATAACCGTATGTTCATGTACCGGGCCGGCGGCCATGTTTTTGGACCCGAAAAGTACCATAACTTGCCAAAGCCATGTACTTGTCTTTAGGACTCTATTATGGAATATGCCCCCCTTTGTTTCTAATGACATTTTTCTCATGTACCATCTACATATTATTTAAAAATGAAGGTGATATTTAATTTAAACATATAATCTATTAAAAAGTTCAACAATTAAATAAATACCCTCCCAAAGATGTTATCACTTTTTTGATAAAGATGTTTAACTATTAATCAAATATTTGTACAAGTTATGAACTCTTTTAACCACAAGGGTGGTGTCTGATTGGTTTGAATTTAGCTCAAAAGGTCAAAAGTATCAGGAGGTCCCAAGTTCAAATCTAAGGAAGAATAAAAATCCCCTTGTGGCCACGGAGGTTCAAATGCGGTAACTCCGGGCTATCTGCAAAGCAGGTAGTCGTCCTGGAATTAGTCGGATCGCATAGCGGGTTGGATATCCAGGTTAATAAAAAAAAATCTATATAATTAACGATTTGGAATGGATCGATTGATTAAATGTTGATATATGTTATATGGAAATTCCTTAAGAATGACGTACAACGGTTTGGAAAGTTAATAACTGTAGGTGTGTGGACCAATTTGCGTATACCTCGACTAATTATATGGAGTCCTAAAGTTAATAGTAAGGAAAACTTACAACGACCCTTTTAAGTGACTCACCGATGACGAGTAGAGAGCAGATCCAATGTCTTACTAGTTGAGTTGCCCAAAAAAGTTGAACACATTCTCGACCCATGGTATATTATATCTTTCTAAATATGCTTTTTCAACTTCTTCGGATGTTTAACAAAAATTTAAACTTATATGATTTATCTGTAAAAATTTAGATACTGATTTTGAAATAATATTATAATCTTGACTAATCATTTTATTTATTCCAAAGAATTGATGTCATATTTGGGAATAACACAAAAAAAATTAGTTGATGCGTCTGGATTTTAGTGCAAAACGCCGAATCTTCATATGCTTGAACCATCTTACGTTGTTAACGTTTTCTTTGTTAAGTTCAACTAGTTATTTTTGGAAATCTGCTAGGAAGCTGTAATCAGCATCAAGATTTGAGATTCCGTAAGTAACTTAGTGAGTGTCTTTCTAAGAAAGAAAGGTTTGGAAGAAGATAATGAGACCTCTCTTCGTATACAAACCCAGAAGTCAGTCCCGTTTTCTGAGGCAAAACTGAATAATCTTTTAAATGGTGGTAAATAATTTTGGCCTAAACGTTGTAGGGCATTTTCCTTTTATCTTAGCTGGGATCATTCATGAGTGGTATCAACGATCTCTTGATACGCTTATCCAACGTGCTTCTTTTCATCTTATTGTTCTTACAGTGTTGCTTCAATGGTTTCTTTTAACAATTTTCACTACTGACTTCTATATATTTTAAATTTGAAATAACACTCTTTTTTATGCATTTTACACTATAGTCCTTTTAATTACTTTATGGGGGTTTCCTTGTAAAACTGAATTTATTGATAAAGACGACAATCAGTATTACAGTTTATTCAAAATTTGGGAGGAAAGTAAGCTACGTTCCGAAAAATGGATTAATACACTAAAACTAATGCATCTGTATTTGAATGATGAAATGATATGAGCATGAACAATTTGACACAGTTGACATGTTTGTTTTTTCTTCAGTTTTCTTTTAAAAACGTGGCACCCACCATATAACATCTGAATGGTTGTACGCTTCAATGTTGTGGTGATATAAGGTTCAGACCAATGGTTGCCAATCGTCACATTCGATTACTAACCCTGGTCGTCACATGTGGTTTCTGTTATTTCATATTCATTCGAGTCGATTCAAACCAACCCACGTGCTTGAAATAGATTTTTTTTAATTTTAAACACAATACCTCCAAAAAAAACTAAAAGCATATTAAGATAATATACAACCAAAGAGATAAAGTTGGGAAAGAAAATTAAAATAATAAAGTTGAAGGGGCAAAATTGACAAACTTTAATAATGTAAGGACAAAAAAGGCATAGTGATCCCCGTAAATTAATCGTTATATTCCAAGCTTATCAAATGGCGCCAAATTTGGTAGCTTTCAAAACCGGCTTCACGCGAACCGGTTCTCGGCCGGTATTTTATATTACTCGCCGGCTTTCCCAAATTGGACTATCTTTTACAAGGAAAAAGAGTACCTGTACGGCCACTTGTCGCTGTCTACTCTATTCAATTTTCATATTTATTTAATAAATATATTTTAATTTTAAATATTATATATATTTAATACTCATACGTTACTGTATTATTTTGTTGGGTGTCATTATTTATTTTTTTGGAATTAAGATTTATTTAATAACCTAGATATCCAACCCGCTATTCGAGCCGACTAATACCAGGACGATCACCTGCTTTGTATATATCCCGAAATCACCGCATTTGAACCTCCGTAGCCACAAGAGAATTTTTATCCCTCCTTGGATTTGAACCTGAGACCTTCTAGTACTTTTGACTTTTGAAGTCAAACTCAAACCAATCAGGCCCCACCTTTGTGGTTTGGAATTAAGATTTTGGTGCCTCACTTTGTATGGCAACCTCAAAATAACCAAAAAGGCCTATTGAAATCAATCAAAAAACCCGAAAAAGTCCTTTAAAATTGAGAAAAACGTTAAAAAAATATTGAAATCAACCAAAAAAAATCTTTAAAAATCCATCGAAACGTGGTAATTAGGCTAAAAACAAGTTGTACGACTTTACGGGCCTTTAGTCTACCTTAAAGGTGCCCCCGCCATTGGTTTGAGTCCTATCAATGTCATATTTTTTTGGTTTTCAGCTTTTTGGTGTTCTTTATAGTCAAATTTATGGGTCCGGCCAGAGGCAAAACACAAATGGACTGGATGAGCAATAGTGAAGGGGCCCAAAAGAATTTTATACTTAAAACCTTAATGGACTGGAGATACTTCACTCAATCAAAAAATACGTTCGTTAAAATAACAATTAAATAAAAGTGTTCATCTTTTATCATAATTACTTTCCTTTCTTTCTCAAAGTAAACTTTCTCCCTCCCATTCTTACAAAGACCTCGTTTGGACAACCTATTTGCATCTTGTGCTGGTAACCAACAAGATACGAACTGATGTGTTACCAGCACATGATGCAAATATATGCTAAAGAGGAGCATAATTATATAGCTAAAAATAATAATTTCAAATATTAAAAGATAATAAATATGGTTTTATTTATTTAAAAAAGTGAATAAATGGGATGAAAACAAGAACATATAGGTGTATATATAAGTTCATCTACTTCAAAACAAACACAAACACACACACATTTATTCTTTCATGGCCACTTGAAGAACTTGTACTTCATCTTCTACACCGCCATTTCTTAAGCTTCTAAGGTATTTATATATCTTTTCATCATCATCATCATACAAATTGCATCATTCGTCTGTAATTGTCGTTCGATCGGGTTCTTCGTTGGGGGCAATGTCGGGTAGGTAACGAAAACGAAAACCATTAAGGGCGTCTGGTTTGATGCAATGAAACGGATACATCATTACCGAGTACTCTGTAATGAAGCATTTTGTTTCTAACAAATTAGGAGGAATGAAGCTCATTCCCATTTCCATTTGTCAACATTCTCGTTCTCGTTCTCATTTGCATTCCTTGAAAAACGAACCAAACGCCCCCCCTTAACACGAATGGTCAATTGGGACCAAGATCGTTTACATCCTCTTCATGACACGTAATCTTTTTACGTTGATTATTGGATAAGAATCGGATAGAAACAATGCATCGGTTTCGAGCGTGTATGTATGCAAGTAAAAAGAACATGAAGGTTTATCATCATGACACTATATATGTTCTACATTCAAGAATGCTTTCAATGTCAAACTCAACTTTGAATCAAAAATTACATTGATGTGTTTGTGTTTTTGGCCCAATTCTTTTTTGGTTTTAAAGATCTTGTCATAGATTAATGTGGGTATCGGTTCGTTTCCTATTTTCCGCGACGAATCTCGTTGATTTTGATGTTAAAAACTAACAAATTTGACTTTTGGAAGTCAAAGCCTGGTCTCTAGGACGGCAGTGACTGCATTTTCTACTTGGAACTTGGCTTTTAAACTGTTTTGGCGTATTTTCAAGAATTTATCAATAAAAAACAAGAACGAGATTCAAGAATTTATCAAAAGTAAACACAAAGATTCAAGTTGTGAAACACAAAGGGTGGTGTCCGATTGGTTTTAGTTTGGACTTGAAAGATCAAAAGTATCCGGAGGTCCTAGGTTCGAATCTAAGGAGGAATAAAAATCCCCTTGTGATCACGGAGGTTTAAATGCGGTGACTCCGGCTACCAGCGAAGTGGGTGGTCGTCATTGGTCGGCTCGTATAGCGGGTTGGATATCCAGGTTAATAAAAAAAGATTCAAGTTGTGATTAGTATCATACAACAAAATCAACTTTATGAAAAGCTAAATATAATGTCTCTACAGACCGTTTGTTTTATAGGATTTCATTTTTTTTTATTAACACCGGATATCCAACCCGTTATGCGAGCCGACTAATCCTAGGGCAACCACCTGCTTTGTTTTGTGGGTAGCCCGGAGTCACCGCATTTGAACCTTCGTGGCCACAAGGGAATTTTTATTCGTCCTTGAATTTGAACATGAGACCTCAAGGTACTCTTGACTTTTGGAGCTCAAGATCAAACCAATCAGGCACCAGAGATTTCAGTTTATTGGATCAAACAATTGTGTTTCATGAAAATTTATCTTATAAAAACAAGCATCTTGTAAAAAATGTGTTTACAAGACACTTCTCAATTGTTGTCGTGTCAAAAAACTAATATAACATTTTATTGTAACACTTTTACATAGGGTACACAATTGTTTGATCTTATAAATTCAGTGTATTTTGTAAATTGTAATCGAAGTTCAAGATTCCAAGAACTCGATCATCCGGAAAAAGCGCAAAGATCGATCGAGTGTTCATCTTAACTTAGTTTGCATAAAAATGCAGATTCATCTGGAGAAGCTTAATTCATTAAGACAGGTGAAGAATTGAAGCTGAACAACGGGAAGAAATGTCGATTGCGTTGAATGCAATCATCCGAGAAGCGATTGATTTGGTATTTCTGAAGCTTTTAGCACACGAACTTTTGATGTTTTTACACTTTGATCATTCTATAGATACAGATTTTTGTGCGTATATATTTATGCAGGAAAATGCACCATTAGAAGAAGTATTTCAACATTTGAAATGTACAAGAGAAGGTTTGAACTCGAATGAAGTTCAAGAGCGTTTGGATCTTTTCGGTTACAATAAACTTGAAGAAAAGAAGGTACTTTTCGTGACACCCGTGACACCATTTTTCTACACTTGAAACTTCACATCAAAAACGCTGTGAATGTAACTTTCATAGTGTTTATGATGTGATGGTTCGGCTTTTTTTACCTTCACAGCGTTTTGCTGTGAAGTCTCACATAAACCCAACCCTATATATATATATATATATATATTCCACTCGAAAAGGAGGGATTTTTATGGGGTTTTTCGTTCTTTTAACAGGAAAGTAAAATCTTGAAGTTCTTGGGATTTATGTGGAATCCTCTCTCGTGGGTGATGGAAGCCGCGGCTATTATGTCGATTGCGCTTGCGCGTGGAGGGGTATGTTCTTTTTCGTTCATCTGTAGTCGTCTATGGTATTTTCACAAGAATGATGGTCGGGTTTCTAAGAAATAGAGGGTTAGAAAAGGTTAACTGTTCCACAGTTTAATTGCTTTATATGACTTAAATTTATAGGACCAAACAGTTATACGTTTCATATAAATGTGTTATAATAAGTTGATAAGACGATCTGTAACATCAAAACAAGTTCTTAACCCTTTTGAAATAAAGTGACATATCAGTCTTTTTATGACATTATTTGGAAAAATGTCTTATAGAAACAAATGTCATATAAAAAGAAAGGTTAATATGACACTTTTCAAAAGTATCATGTAAAAAGGCTAAAAGAATATTTAGGGGTTGTTTAGCATATGCTAAGTGAATTTGGTGCATAATGATTAAGTGATCAGAATGATTAAAAGGGTCCGTAAGACTTGTGTGTAAAACAAAAAATTGACTATATGCCTCCTATCAATTTATTATAACTCCTTTATAAAGGGAGCACAATTGTTTGATTTTATAAACTTAAATCTAGTCAGTTAAAACATTTAGACATATTTGGCGTCCTATAAAATCCGATTTTGTTGTAGTAATTGCAACATTCGCTATATGGTCATTCCCTAGCGATTTTCGTCGTTGATGTTCATATGACTCTGTTTAATTCAGGGAAAGCCTGCGGATTATCATGATTTCGTGGGGATCATTGTTTTGCTCGTTATAAATTCAACGATAAGTTTCATCGAGGAGAACAATGCCGGAAACGCAGCTGCTGCTCTGATGGCTCGTTTAGCTCCAAAAGCAAAGGTTTGATCGTGTTTCTGAAGCATAAATCTCGATCTAGTTTCTGAAATTTGCCGTTACAGGTTCTTCGCGATGGAAAATGGAGTGAAGAAGATGCTTGCGTGTTGGTTCCAGGCGATATTATCAGTATCAAACTCGGAGACATCGTTCCTGGTGATGCCCGTCTTTTAGAAGGCGATCCTCTTAAGATTGATCAGGTACCATTATGACTTAAACCGATGATTATCCATACTGTTAGAGTCCCAAATCAGAACATTTTTCTTCATATATGTTGAAATACCCTTCTATCTCCGAGGAATCTGATGGGGTTTAATATATATATATATATATATAGACTTGGGATCATGTGAGACCAATCCTGAGCCCGTAAAACTAATTCTTAACATTTGGATTAGATCTACAATCTGACAATCTAAACATTCATAAACGCCACGAGACTTCTCAATGATCACAAAATTGCCACCGTGCAATTTAGACCATTAGATCATTAACTTATAAAGTTGATCAATGAACATAAATTAGTCTCACGGGTCTCACGAAAACAGTCTGGTCTCACGTGAACCCAACCATATATAGGGTTGGGTTCACGTGAGACCAGACTGTTTTCGTGAGACCCGTGAGACCACATTTTTACACTTAAACTTCACAGCAAAAACACTGTGAAGGTTTAAAAAAGTCGAACATTCACAACAAAAACACTGTGAAGATTACCTTCAGAGCATTTTGCTATGAAGTTTCAAGTATAAAAAGCTGGTCTCACGGGTTTCACGAAAACATACTGGTCTCACGTGATCCCAAGTCTATATATATATATATATATATATATATATAGAGAGAGAGAGAGAGAGAGGAGCGTTCAAATAAAAACTTGACCCATTTGTAAAAACCGTGTAAACCAATCTCATCCATTCATTTTTTTGATCAATGGCTAAGATTACATTACTTTATTTTAGGAAATTATAAATTAAAAGTAATTAATATTTATTTTATTTCATCAATAAGGGTAGAATCGGTAAACAAAGGTAACATTAATGTCTATGCATTTAAATAAATTTAATTCATAGTATTTTTTATTCAAGGCAACCATATCAGGTAAATTATATTATTAATGAAATTGATTCACTTTGTGAAATAATATACTATTTTAATGTTAATATTTTTTAAAATAATATCCATCAATAAGTTATATCAAAATCAAAACACAACATATTCACTAATGTATAATGAATAATTTCATAAAAAAWTAAAATAAATGATCATATTTCATTGTTTAATATGCTTATTAAATATTATGATTTTGCAATATCGAGTTTCATTATCCTCATTTGATATTGAAACTCATTCATATTTTGCAATGATGAATCGATTTTGTATATGCACCGGTTTCATTTAGCATTTCATCTACTTAACCATTCACCTCCAGCATCATTGTTCATGTCTTAAAGCGGTTCATGACTAACTGTTCAATTACATTATGAACTCATTTCAAGGACATGCACACGTTACATTTGTAAATGAACTTGTTTCATTGTCAAGGATCTGAATACACGGATCATATCACACACAATGCAACATTGATCACCATGAAACTTGAAAATGAATATGTTTCATCATCATGAAACGAGTGCATGAACATGTTTCATCATGAAACGAGTGCATGAACATGTTTCATCATGAAACGAGTGCATGAACTTGAAAATGAATATGTTTCATCATCATGAAATGAGTGCATGAACATGTTTCATCATGAAACGAGTGCATGAACTTGAAAATGAATATGTTTCATCATCATGACCTGGAAGTAGATGAACATGTACAATATAAATAAAAGAAGCAAATAAAACATTTTATAATGAAACCTTCTGATATGAACATTAATTGCATAAAGAATGAAATATATTATGCACCCGTTTCATTATGATGAAACCTTTTCATTATGATGAAACCTTTTCATTATGCATTTAATGTAATATGCAACCGTTTCTTCGTAATGAAACATTTTCATATGAACATTAATATATTATGCTATGGTAATATGAAATCTTTTCATTTTAAAACCTTTTCATATGAAACAGGTTCATAACCGGTAATTTTTGATACAATGAACCTCAAATCATTCATTCATTACATAACAAGATAAAATCTTCATGAATGTTTCCAGCTTCATTGAATAAAAAAAACAAATCAATTTTTAATATTATAAAATATTAAAATCTTTAAATMATTCCATTTATATAATTTCCATTATTAAATTTCCTTATTTAATATTCCTTAATAACTTTCTTATTTATGAAAAAAATAATGAAAATGACCAAATTGACCTTATTGATTAAATTTAATTAAAAATGAATGGAATTTTTCTATTGGTCGATTTTGGTTTACACAGTTTTTTAGAATGACATGTTTTCATTTGAACCTGCCCCTATATATATATATATATATATATATATATATATATATATTCGCACATGGTATCACTAGGACATCTTTGCCCATCTAGCCTTCGTTGGAGGGGGTGTGTTAGAATACCAGATCTTATCTGATGGGTATCTATATGCTCTCACATGGTATCAGAGCCTGAGCCAAATCTACCATCTGGAACATCTTTGCTTTGCCCAGTAGTGTCCGTTGTAAGGGGCGTGTTAAAGTCTCACATTGGCTAGATGAAACACTTTTTTTTTCAATATATGTTGAACCGTTCTCTCCCTATAAGGCTCTTTTGGAGAGTAATTTGATGGAGTTCTATATATTCTCATACATACGAAAGTAGTCTAATTTACTAACGGATTCTTTTGGTCATATTCGTAGTCTGCACTCACCGGAGAATCACTTCCTGTGACCAAGAATCCGGGAGATGGTGTATACTCGGGTTCTACATGTAAGCAAGGAGAAATCGAAGGCGTTGTGATTGCAACCGGAGTTCACACGTTTTTTGGGAAAGCAGCTCATCTTGTCGAGAACACGACTCATGTCGGACATTTCCAAAGGGTTCGTGTCTCGATTGTAGTTTTTAGGCTCCGAGTTGCTACGTATGATTTCTCACGATGTATTCTTTTTGTTGCCAATAGGTGTTAACGTCAATCGGGAACTTCTGCATTTGCTCAATCGCGGTTGGTATGTTAATCGAGATCATCGTGATATATGGTATTCATCAGAGGGAATATCGTGTTGGTATCGATAATCTTCTTGTGCTACTCATCGGTGGGATCCCGATCGCTATGCCTACCGTTCTCTCCGTCACCATGGCCATCGGTTCACATCGCTTGTCTCAGCAGGTAAAGTGAAAGTCGAAATTTTTTGTGTAAAATTTCAAGGATTCGAACTCGGAAACAAATAGAAACTGCTAACAAGATTTTTTTTTTTCATGTTGACCCAACTGGCAGAGGACCAGCTAGTTGGGCCCACAAAATCTTGTTGACAAAAGTCAACAAGTTTTACTGTGTATTGTTCTTTTTGCTAGAACTTACAGATGTTTTCATCTAATGTTCTTGATCTAATCTATTATCGGAATAGGGTGCTATTACGAAAAGAATGACTGCGATCGAAGAAATGGCGGGGATGGATGTGTTATGTAGCGACAAAACCGGCACATTGACACTCAACAAGCTTACCGTTGACAAGAACATGATCGAGGTTTGTAAACTTCGTTTAGGAATCTCCAAAATGTGCTTTGTATCTTAATCTCAAAAAACATAATCGTTTAATTTAGGTCTTTGCGAAAGGCGTTGACAAGGATCTGGTCGTGTTAATGGCTGCACGGGCATCACGGCTAGAAAACCAGGATGCTATCGATGCTGCTATCGTTAATATGCTCGGAGACCCCAAGGAGGTACTACCGTTTTTGGTTTCGTTGTTTGGCATACTTCTTTTGTGACGGGATATGGTGTCGCAAGTCACATAGTGACAAACGTTATTATTTTTGCGTCGTTAAAGAGCTTCTATTGTAGTTTGGATGCTTAGAGACACATGATTTTGTTATCAAAATACTGATCGATTCTCATAATTCCTCGATAAAAATTAGGCTCGAGCCGGGATTCAAGAGGTCCATTTCCTACCGTTCAATCCAACGGACAAAAGGACCGCGCTTACATACGTAGATAAGATTGGTAAAATGCATAGAGTGAGCAAAGGAGCACCCGAGCAGGTATAGAAACATCGATCGAAAATCTAAAACACAACGTTTAATTGACGATTTCATATCATTGAATCATTCGAAATCACCATGTAGATACTCAACCTTGCACATAACAAATCCGAAATCGAGAAAAAGGTGCATTCGATAATAGACAAGTTTGCCGAGCGTGGGCTTAGGTCTCTTGGAATCGCTCGTCAGGAAGTGCCTGCTGGAACCAAAGAGAGCCCGGGTGGTCCGTGGGAGTTTGTCGGTCTTCTTCCGCTCTTTGACCCTCCACGACACGATAGTGCCGAAACGATCCGGAGAGCGTTAGATCTTGGCGTGAGCGTTAAGATGATAACGGGTATTTCTCTCTTGTTTTGAAGCTTTTGATATCGTCACATATCTATCCTCGGATGTCGTTTTCTAGCGAAGTTTCTGGATTCATGTTAAATGGTCAAATTACGATTTCAGGTGACCAACTAGCGATCGGTAAGGAAACCGGAAGACGACTAGGAATGGGCACAAACATGTACCCTTCTTCGGCTTTGCTCGGTGACAATAAGGACGGTTTTGGAGCTTTGCCTATCGATGAACTCATCGAGAAAGCCGATGGTTTTGCTGGCGTCTTTCCCGGTAGAGCGTCCTATTAGTCTTTTTTTCATGTCATTACATATATAAAGGTTTGATGGTCTACGTCTGACTGGTGTGAGACTCCAACATTTTTCGACTACAGAACATAAATACGAGATCGTTAGGAGACTACAAGCCCGAAAGCACATATGTGGGATGACGGGTGATGGCGTGAACGATGCCCCTGCACTAAAGAAAGCCGATATCGGCATTGCTGTGGCCGATTCCACTGATGCGGCTCGTAGCGCTTCAGATATAGTTCTAACCGAACCTGGATTGAGTGTTATCATTAGTGCAGTCTTAACTAGTCGTTCGATATTCCAAAGAATGAAGAATTACACGGTAATTATATATTTTCATTTTGCGGGTCCCATTTATCTGGTGTCGGCTTTCGCTTTACACTAATAACGTTTCTCGTTTCCTTATACAGATATATGCCGTTTCTATCACCATCCGAATTGTGGTAAGTGTTATATTTAGTAAATAGTTTGTACCATAATCTATATCGATTCGAATGCGAAAAGTAACATGTTTGACTTCCCATGGTTGATTTTTTCGCGACCGTTGCAGCTAGGGTTTATGATGTTGTGTGTTTTTTGGAAGTTCGATTTCCCTCCGTTCATGGTTCTCGTTATAGCCGTCCTCAACGATGGTAAGTCAGTGAAGCGTATATAAAAATTTTGTACCGTACAATTATCAGTGGCGGTCTATGCTCAGTTACATGGAACGTGTTGCAGTCTCATATCAGCTAAAATTACACCAATTCTCTTGTAGACTAAGGTTCAAGAGAAAAGCACAAAAATGTTGGAAAACTGATAAATATACTAATAACCATTCATTTATCTGTGCACGTATACATAACAGTAATTGAATTTTTTTTGTTGGTTTTTGTGCATGTGTGCATAAATCAAATTACTTTTATGTACATGTGCATACCGGACAAAAGAATGGATATTAGAGTTGAGGAGTCCTCGTCAACTTCTTATTTTCTTTATGCTTTTCCCTGAACCCAAATTTTCACATATAAATATTGAAACTTCAAATGACTCTTTTGGACAGTAATCTAATAGGGTTCCACATATTCTGATATCTTTCAGGTACAATCATGACAATATCGAAAGATAGGGTAAAACCATCTCCGGTTCCGGATAGTTGGAAGCTCACGGAAATCTTCGCAACCGGGGTTGTTCTTGGTGCATACCTAGCCCTAATGACCGTCGTTTTCTTCTGGCTAGCATACGAAACCAACTTCTTTACGGTACACGATCTTTCCGAACTTTAAAGCTTAACGATTTTTACAGATTTCTTACCCCTTTTTTTCTTGTTTCTGATGCAGAAAACGTTCGGTGTCAAACCAGACTTCAACTCACACCATCGTAACATGTCAATCAAAGCCGAGTCGGAACAGCTAACCGCGATGATGGCATCGGCCATTTATCTTCAAGTCAGCACCATCAGCCAGGCCTTGATCTTCGTGACTCGATCTCGGGGTTGGTCGTTCACTGAAAGGCCCGGTCTTTTGCTTGTAACCGCATTTCTGATAGCTCAACTGGTAAAATCTTGATTCCGATAAAACCAGTTAGGTTATCTTGATGATTTTACCCTAGTTTTTCGATCGTTTTATCCCGTCGTCTTGAATTTTCAGGTGGCGTCGGTGATATCGGCGACCGTCACGTGGGAAACAGCCGGAATCCGAAAGATCGGGTGGGGGTGGACTGGGGTTATCTGGTTGTTTAACATCTTGACTTACATGTTACTTGATCCTATCAAGTTTGCTGTTCAATATGGGCTAAGTGGAAGAGCTTGGGGCTTGGTTGTGGAGAAAAGAGTAAGTTTTCTATTGGTCCATATTTTTATTAACCTCGATATTCAACCCGCTATGGGAGCTGACTAATCTCATGGGGACCACCCGCTTCACGGATAGCCTGGAGTCACCGCATTTGAACCTCTGTGGCCACAAGGGGAGTTTTATTCTTCCTTGGATTCGAACATGGAACCTCGAGGCAATTTTGACCTTTGGAATCCAAACTCAAACCAATCAGGCACCACCATTTTAGTTCATAAAGACATGTTGTTTGACCTCAAAAGACAAAACATATATCTCTCCTCTCAAAAACAGATAATTTTAGAACACTTTACGTAATTTACGCTTCTCGGTTTTGCAGACTGCATTTACGACGAAGAAAGACTTTGGACGGGAAGCTCGTGAGGCAGCATGGGCGACAGAGCAACGTACGCTGCATGGACTTCACTCCGCTGAGCCGAGAGTGTTTCCCGAGCAAGGAACATTCAGAGAGATTAGTCTCATGGCGGATGAAGCTAGACGACGAGCTGAAATCTCAAGGTGCGTGCATGGTTTTTGGTGTCTCGTTTTGTAGGTCCCATTTTCTACAATAGTAGAAAATAGGACCCACAAAATGACCCGTCATTGTTTTTTTCAATAAAATTACCTTTTGATCTAATTTATGCAGGCTAAGAGAGCTTCATACACTTAAGGGGAAAGTTGAGTCTTTTGCTAAGCTAAGAGGATTAGACATTGATGCAATGAATCAACACTACACAGTTTGATTGGAGCCCTAATTTTGTATTTTAATTTTATTATTTTGAAATTGGAATCAAGAACCCTAGAAACACATTTTCCCCTTTGTGGGAATTGCACTTGTTGATGTGCACCAATGTGTTGTTAATTTTATTTATTTATTTTTAATGAATTTTCTTTAAATTAATCACACAGTTGTGCGGTTTTCATTCGACGAAATATATCTTGTAAGGCAAATAAATATATTTTAAAAGGATCTTTTTGTATGTTATTATTTGTGTTCGTAACTCGATCTCATAATCTTCTGATTATGATAAGTGGCTGATTAAGTTCACGTTATAGGAGAATATGATCGGCCTCTGACGTGTAGTTCAGTTGGCAAAAGGGTGGGGCGACTTTGCCAAAAAAACAGGAGAATATGATCGAGATTACGAGGTATATGTCATTGTGGTTAGAGATGCACAAGATTTGGACCTTTCAAACCTATTTTTAGTGAGCGAAGAAAGGTCCAGTCAGGATTTTTCAGGGCTTAATTGTATATTTTGTGTTTAACCAAGCTCTTCTAGGTCGATGTCGTGTTTGCCCCAAAAATTTTGTCTTGATCGGATTTAGGGCCTGGCCTAGACCGGGTTTCGGGAATTAGGCTCGGGCTTCTCCAAACCAAGCCGGAAAAGTTAAATAAAATCTCAAATGATGAAAATAGCCCTCCCTACTCGCATAAGGGCCACATAGGGACCTAAGGTAGTGTTTGATACACAGATATGATTGGATATGACATGACAGGAGAAGACAAAATGGTAGGACTGGACAGGACAGATGGAACAAGTGTGTGTTTGATGTATGGTATGACTAAGACCGGACAAGACAGAACTAAACAAGTTGCCCTTAAAAGTTATTTGATGATATATATATATATACACACACACATGATAATACCAAATTTGAATGAAAAATCTAGTATAATTGATAGTAGTTTGAGAAAACCCGATTCATACAAAGGAGAAATTATGTTTTATTCGGTTTGGAAGATTGTTATCAACTGGTGAAGTGGTGTTTGTTATTGTGGAAGTGGAGGTGGTGGTGGCCGAAAGTACTAGTGGTTATGGAGATGGACAGTGACAGTCAATGACCGACGGTGGTTGTAAAGGATATGAAGATGGTAGATAGTGGTAGTTGTAGCTGATGGTGGTGGTTATGGTGGAGGTGAGGTGGGTCATGGTGGTGGTGTGTGGCCAACGGTGGTTGTGGAGGTAGTAGAGGAAGAAGTTGTAGTAGAGGAGAAGGTGGAGGTGACCAATGGTGGATGTGGAGATGGATGGTGGTGGTGGAGGTGGCGATGAAAGGTGGTGGTCGGTGGTTGTGGAGGTGGCTGATGGTGGTTACCGGTGATGGCGAATAGCAATAATGACCACAAAAACAAATATCACATTAAGGTTATATATCAAACGAGGGTTAGTAATATTTTGGTGGAACAAGAAAAAGTTTTTTTTTGTCTCACGTCGTCCCAATTCTTGTCACAGTCTCATGTCGTATCAAATATAGGATAATGAGCTTTTGTCCTGTCCAAACATGAGACACTGAATATTGTCATATATTGTCCAGTCTCATACCAAATACAGCCTAAAGAATGATAAGAAGAACGAGGGACTAATCCAAAACAAACAATAAACTATAGGGGCCAAATCCATAATTTTTCCATTTTAAGCAACTAATTCATAACAAAATATAAACCAAATGGACCAAGAATGTAAATTAACTCCTATTTTATATATATAATTGGGAAGGTTCCTGGAACCGGAGATCTCTTGAACCCTTTCGTACCTGTCAACTGCCACATGAGCTTCCATTTTGTCAATGGCAACCACCACACACAACCTATTTTGACCCTTATCTCTCTCTCTCTCTCTCTCTCTCTCTCTCTCTCTATATATATATATATATTATATATGTATGTATATATTATATATGTATGTATATGTGTGTATATCCATCTCTCTCTCTCACACACACAAAAGAAACGTGTATAACGAGTATTTTCAATAAAAGCTCTCTGCCTCTACCCACCAGAAATTAGGTTTCGTCTACCTCTTACTGTTATCCTCCCAAAAATTTGAACCATACCAAAATCAATCAAACCCTTAGATTGCTTTCCAAAAGGGTTTGTGTTTTTAACTTCTTGATCCTTCTTTATCGACTTAAAAAGCTTCCATTTTTATGGCCTCTGCTACACTGCCACGCTTCTTTATCATCTTCACTTTGCTTCCCCTGATCACACATTCTATCCCTTTTGTTGTCTTTCATGGTAAGTGCCTTTCTTCCCTTTTTCATCACTGAATGCTTCAATTAGGGCTTGATGGATGTTGTGCAAAACCCCTAAATTGTTTGATACTTGGTTTTTATTGGTCATTTGTGGAAAATAAGTTGTGGGGTTTCTAGGAATTGTATCTATCTTGGATCTTGCTTTGATTTTCTTATCTGTCACTTGATTGTTTCTTGTGGGTCTTTCTTGTTTTGGATCGTTTGACTTTTTATATAAGTCAACTCATGTGAAGTCCCTGTCCCTAAAGTTGCACATTATGCGAGCCGACTAATCCCAGGGCGACCTACTGCTTTGCACATACCGCATTTGATTCTCCATGGCCACAAGAGGATTTTTATTCCTCCCTGATTTGAACCTGCACATTTTCAAACACAGATTTAGTGGTTTTATATGTATATTTGGCTAATTTAGTAATTCGTTTGTGGGAAATGATATTTGAGCAAATTACTGGCAACCCTGACCGGCCCTTAATGGAACCCGCCCCCTAGGAACCACATATGAGGTGGCATTTCAGAGCTGAATTAGGAGCTGAGGCTAGCAGGGGGGGTCTCCGATAGGATTCGAATTTGAACCTATTGTGTATTTGAGCAAAGTCGCTCTGCCCCTTTGCCAACTGAGCTACACGATTGAGGGCTTGTGGGAATTGATATTAGTGCACACTCCTATTAGTTCCTTTTTTGTAGAATGATGTAGTTATAACTATGTGCCTTTAAACAAACCATATCTTAGTGAAATGTTTCCATATAAATATATACATTGCCCATGAAAAGTTGCCATATAATATTGGTATTTGATAGTGTGGTATAAATATTTTTGATAGATGAAAGGGCTAGTGCCCAGCAGGGACATAGGCTATTTTTGGCAAAGTTGATGATAAGCTAGTTGTTGGCCGATAAACTAATCATGATTGGTAAAAACTAACTGATAAGCTAGATGACAATGTAAAATGACATAAAAGAACATGAGGAAAAATTAAATTATAAAAAATATGAAAGGCATCAATGGAAAAAGTGGAAAAAGCCCCTGGCTCTTGTTGAAACACTACTTGAAGTAGCCTTTTAAAAAGCTAGCTTATGGCTTACCAAACAAACGAGATTTTTCAGTAAGCTAGATTATTGTTGCCAAAGATGGCCTTAGCTTATTAAGGGAATCTTCCGGCTCTTATTAGGGTCTTTGAACGGAAACAACCCTCTAGATGAAAGGTCTGCGTACATCATATTCCCCAAACCTTGCGTGCATGAGATTTATTGGGTTTGGTTGATTTTCTTCAAGTTCCTAATTTGTTTTATGTATCCATGTTCATAATAATCATAGGCGTTGCGGATAGTTGCACCAAGAAAGGAGTCACACATTTCACGGATCTTTTAAGCAATTGGTCCAATACTCAAGGATATTGCATGTATGCTCTCTTTAACTTATAATTCCAATTTGGATTCTCGATAAGTTTCTTGCAAGATTTGAATCCATGACCTCCCATAAATTGAATTACATAGTGTAATGAAGTAACTCCTTGGATTATGTGTAGAGAAATAGGAAATGGAGTGTGGGATTCATGGTTTATGCCCTTTTCGGAACAGGTGGTTTATCCATGTTGTGATTACATATTTGCAAATTATTTTTTCAAACAATCGGTAGTTTTCGGGATTGTAGGTTTTAACTTGGGATTTTCGTGTTTTTGTCTTGTAGACGGAGATTGCTTGTGAAAAGGTAATGAAACCGGTCCTTTGGTTATATGACCTTCTCTCAGTTTTTTTTAATTCATGACCTTTTGTCAAGTTTGAGAAAGTATAAAGAATGCCACTTTCATACACAAGAATACTTAGAGACCTGTCAGAAGGTCATGGATTTGAAAACCGCTTGTCGGAGGATCATTTAGCTAAATACCCCTGATGAAATTGATGTGGAATACTTTTTTGTAATTTTATTTCTAGGATCGTTCTAACTCGTGTAGAGAAATGCATATACTTTTTGCAAAAACAGGTGAAGAGTATGAGTGAACTCAGTCAAGGTTACAACATAGTTGGACTTTCCCAGGTGAGAATGATAAAATTGTTGACTTTTTGCAAAAAGTATACATTTTTATGGAAAAACGACTTCCCAAATGAGAAAAGATGTGATCTCATTCGATATTTTTTGTAGGGTAACATGGTCGGCCGAGGAGTTCTTGAGTTTTGTGATGGAGCTCCTCCTGTAAGTACTTGAATAAAAGTATAGTGTCGTTAGTATGATAGTGTTAGTCTTTCCTACCTTTCATGTCTTATTTATGCATCTACTTAGGGGACCATTTATTGTTTGTCGGTCTTAGGGGGGTTTGGTTTGCATAATGGAATTTGGTGGAATTGGAGTTCATCAAAGGAATTTGACTTTGAAGGAGTTGGAATGGAATTTGACCTCACGTTTGGTTGGCAGGAATGAGAATGGAATCTTTCGAAAGAATTTGAATATGCATGTTTGGTTGGCGGAATGTAGCTTTGGAATTGGACTTAAATAATAATAAATGACCAAAATACCCTTTTTGAATTGGCGGTTGTGACGGGCGGCATAGTGGCATGGTGGTTGGGGGTGGTGGTTGTTCCCTGTTTTTTATGTCGGGGAGTTCAAGGAAACAACCTTTATACCCCTTGGGGTAGAGCTAAGGTCTGCATACATACTACCCCCCCACAAACCCTATCTTTGTGTGGGATATACCGTGGTTTTTCCAGTTTGGTTTTTATTTTATTTGCATTTTGCGAAAGAAGTTGTTTTCGTGAATTTTGTTCCATGATGACAAAGGAGCAACCTTACCGATCTTGACCATCATGTGCAGGCACGAAGGCTCCTTGGTCTTACAAGGATCCTTCGTATACAACATTTCCTTGCATAGGTGTTGTGAATATGTGGAACCCCTTTGAATCTCTCTAAAGGAGCTCTTATAGAGATATATATATCGGATCAGGTTCATGGAAAACCGTAAAAAAAATGAAAAACTGAGGAACACCCTGACGATGGTAACTTTTCATTTGGACGGTGTGCACATGTGTATACAAGTAAGAGTAAGCAATTTGTCCGCTATGCACATGTGCATTACATGCACACGTGCATAAAAACCAAGAAACAACTTCAATTACTTGTATGAACATGTAGATACTGTCCAGATGAATTGTTAGTAAGGTGTTTCTCACTTTTTCACTTTTTTGGGGGGCTTTCCCTTGAACCTCCCTCTATTATATACATTGTTGATGGTCTATATCTAATCGAATTAGGACTCCAATAGTTTCTATGACTTTTGACCTCCACCCCACTGCTGCCACCACCACCACCACAACCTATCCAGTCTGTATACCAAACACTACCTCAAAGCTCTCGCTCCCTAGGACAACATTTCAACTTAACGGAAATAAAAAAAACATCTATTGGTTCGATTCATGTGTGTTGTGACAGGTGAAGAACTTCATATCAGTAGCAGGTCCTCATGCTGGGGAAGCATCAATCCCGTTTTGTGGTGTAAGCCTCCTATATTCTTAAGAAATATGCTCGTATATATTTTCAGCCATATTAATTTACGGAACTTTGCGTTCATGAAGATCTCGTTATCTTTTTGCAGACTGGTTTGATGTGCATTATTCTCGACAGTTTGATGAAGTTAGCGATTTATAGCACGAGACTCCAGGTAAATTTCACATCTTTCTTCATACCTGAAAAACGGGAAAAGATGACATTCTTTGGGATAAATTGAATAGATTGCATAAAGAAACGAGGATACATGATCTTGGAGGCATACCCGTATGTCACGCACAACAAGTTAGAATTTGATTAATACTCAAACGTCTATAAAACGCCGTGTTTTGGTTAAATGTTTGGAGAGTTTATAATCTCACTCAACTAAAGTTTTCGATAAGCTAGTTGTTAGCTGATAAGCTAGTCGTTAGTTAATAAACTAGCTGAAAAGCTAGTTGTTGCCTTGTTGGTCAATAAGTTTGGGTGATATAACTAGTCATGTTAGGTAAAAACTAGCTGGAAAACTTAGATGACATTGTAAAATGGTCTGAGAGGACATGATAAAAAAATTAATTCGAAAAATATAATGGGCATAATTGGAAAAAGAAAATTAAAAAACCCCCTGAAGTAGCGTTTTTCAAAAAGCTAGCTTATGAGGAACCGAACTGGGCTTTTTCAATAAGCTAAAAAACAAGCTAGCTTATGATTGCCAAACATGGCCTAAATATGAAAATAGGTCCAAATCTCGAGCACCTTCGAAAATATATTCATTTATCCCTTTTTCTAAATGTTTTCTCGATTAACCGAAGCTTGATGTTGGTTGTACAGGAACACTTAGCTCCATCAAATTACATCAAGATCCCAACTGTGAGTAAAAATACTTCAAACCCTTCATCACAACCATATGAACTTGTAGGGGCAAAATCGGAAATTCTGTAATCTTTTCATGTTTAAGAGGATCAGGCACTCGTTTTCTTGCTTTCTAGGATCTTGATGGATATCGAGAAGGGTGTACATTCCTCCCGAAGCTAAACAATGAGTTCGAAAAAAACGCTACTTACAAAGAAAGGTTCACTAGCTTGCAGAAGTTAGTGCTTATAATGGTAAGATGACTCTTTTTCGGGCTACACATTTATTTGGAGCAAATATGGTCAAATCCAAAGCAAGTGACTGCTTTGGATTTGACCTTTTTCACCCCGGAATAAGTCCCTCCCCCTAGAAATAGTCGAATTCGGAGCATTAGACGACTTTTATTGCAAATCGTGGGTCTTTTCGGAAACAGTTCTCTGTCGTGTGGGATAGAGGTAAGGTTTGCTTACATCTTACCCACCAAACCCTACATTCAGATGGGATATACCAGTTTGGTTTGGTGTGTTGCAAACGAGTCCACTATATCCCGCCTGAAGGTGGGTCCCCCGCTGCAGGGCGTATGCAGAGTATAGTGACTGAAGACCTCCAACCAAGGATTTAAACCTCACCAAAGATGAGAAGTGTGTGTATCTGCCATATATAAATATTATGAGTGACGTTCACGGGAAAACCCCCCAAAAAAAACTGTGGAACATCCAAATAATCGTTCATCTGTACGGTATGCACATATGCATACAAGTAATTGAAGATGTTTCCTGGTTTCTATATATGTGTACAGATGAATGGTTATTAGGGTGTTGATGAATTTTTCATGTTTTTGTGGTTTCCCCTGAACCTGACACTGAATATACTTCAATAAAACATTCAAATCCATTGGATTGTACAATTTTCGGGAAGAGTTTTCCGGGTACGAATTAACCGATCTTTTGATGCATTTTTGTGTCTCGAAAATGTGTTTAGTTTGATGAAGAATCAGTTTTGGTACCGAAAGAAACCTCATGGTTTGGGTACTTCCCTGATGGAGCTTGGGATCCAATTCTTCCTGCACAAGAGGTAAATCTCTTTATGTGTTTTCGATAACCACAAGATGCATCAATGAGTTGTACTGTACAACTTAGGGGTTGTTTAATACCTGCTGACCGCCTCTTACCCGTTAAGAAGACATGTTGTATACCAATACAATCTGACCTACAAATATGTTAACCGAGATGTTGACTCGGGTAGTTTTCTGACTCAATCAGTGCTTCAGTCAGTGCTTGCTCAGGCACTTGGTACCCAGACCGAACCTCTTACACAGACTTGGTCAACGCGTACCCAATTTGTCATTTTGGAGAATCTATCGGAGATGCTCTTAGTAATGTACCAATGGGTTGTACGGTACAATTCATTACTGCATTACGGGATTCTTGATTTTCTATCTTTGTATACGGACCATGCGTCAGTATGTTGTATGGTACAATTCATCAATGCATCCCTCGGATTCTTGATTTTTATTTACGTATGTACAGACGAGACTGTATACCGAAGACTGGATCGGTTTGAGGACGTTGGACGAGGCCGGAAAGGTAGAGTTCGTAAACGTGACGGGTGGACATCTCGATATAAGCGATGATGATATGAAAAAATACATGGTGCCGTATCTGGTAGATGAAGATGCACCCGAGAGTTCGATTCGGTTAGAATCGGATTCCCGTGGGCCACCTTCGTCTACTTCGTCTGGTGCCATGGGTTCCGTTAGAAAACTAATTGGACAACAAGATCTGCAACTAAACGTCATTCATCGCCCCTGATACAAAATTATCGTTCATTTCATCGGTGAATATAATATTCCAAGGACTCGTGTTCAATGTCAAAAACTCGATTCTTATTTCTTTGTTCGAGTGTCGAGCACTTTCTGTTCATCGTTTGATCGGTTTTGAGAAAATTGTTCAAGAACAGCGGTTCCGAGATCTCGGATTTTGGAGTCAAATCTTTAGCAAGTCTCGATCGCATTGAAGTTTAGAGATTTACATGAAAACTCTTGTAAAACGACACAGACGTTACACGAAATCGATTTTATAGAACGTTAAATGTATAATTGTCTAGTTTTATACGATGTTAAATATTTATAAATGTTCCCATAGATTGTTTCATAGCATTTGAATTTAAAGGGGAAAAGTTGAGAAAAAACAAGTGAACTTTTCTATTTTGAATGATGAAATCGGTTGAACCTTTTATTTTTTCATTAAATTTTTTTATTTTGAATTATTAAGTGTAAAAAGAAAACCTAAATCGATTTTACTGTTCTCAAATCATGTATCATTCAAATCACTCGTAAGTTGCACCCAATGACATCGCTCCCTCGATCTCACCATCCTATCGTCGTCGTTACCCCTGCCATCGATCTTCCTTTTTTTCCCTTTCAATTCTCAGTATTTTCTAACGATTTAACGAAGTACGTATAGACATATAAAAAAGAAGGCAAATAAAAAAGCAGATGAAAAAGAGAGAGATTGATGGCATGAGGCAACGAGTCAACAACGGTGACGGAGAGTGGGCGGTGATGGGGTGATGAGAGGGAGCAATGGCATTGGGTGCAAGAGGTCTGAATGACGTAAGATTGGAGAACAATAGATCTAATTTAGGTTTTTTTCAAGCAGCTTTGTAGGTAACAACTTTCTAAAAGTTTCCTGGTTTATTTTATCAGAAAAAATGTCCGGAGACTTGATCGTTGAAAATTGGAAATTTCAATGGTTTGTTTATAAAAAATAATAATAAAAGGACTTAAATATTCAAAATGAGGAAGCTCATTGGGGTTTTTTTTTATTAATCTGGATATTCAACCCGCTATGCGAGCAAACTAATCACAGGGCGACCACCTGCTTTACAGATAGTCCGAAGTCTCCGCATTTATAAAACATCTGTTTTTTATAAAGACATTTTATCTTATAATAGAATATAAAAAGACGAATAGGATACTTTTATAAAACTTATTAAAAACCCCTCAAACGGAAGATGGTTTTTCGAAGAACTCTGATAAAAAGTGAAAGTTTTGAGAATAAGAAGATAGAGCCATTTAGGCGTATAACCTTAAATGAGATTTTAATTAAATCCATAATTCTTAACCTATTAAAAGAAAACTGGTTTGTTATAAATTTAGGTGCCGTTTACCAAACGCTTACCCGGGTAAGCGTTTACCAAGTCAATTTACTTTACCGGATGAATATGGCAAATACTAAGAATCTTACCCGGTAAGAACGAAAGCAAGAATCGGGAGTCTTACCCGGTAAGTGGGGACAAGGACTCTTACCATGGTTAGTGCTTACCGGGATAAATTGTTGCATACGATGTGTTTTAGTGAATAAAATCTTGTCCGGTAAGTAAGCGATAGTGTTGAATTTTAAAGGTAAGTGCTTACCAGGTAAGTGTTTAGATAAACGGCCCCTTAGTTAAAATCTCATTTAAGGGTGTGTGTGTGTGTGTGTATATATATATATATATATAGAAGGCCTTCTTTTGAGAAATTAAGAAATTGTGATAACCTTGAGAACTTGTATATTATGTGTTATTTCATATGATCTTTTTCCATCTAAAACTAGGATTTAGAATATTGATTAACATATATTTGTTTCACATGTACTCGGTTCACAATGTGAACCTTTTTGGCGTGTTTATGATACATAAAATACACGTAAAAAGTTTTACATTGTGAAACGAATACATATAAAAGAAACACATTGTGAAACAAATATATGTTAATTAATACATTGAATACTATGCCTAAATAGAAAAAAAAATCATATAAAATAACAAATGATACACAAGTTCTCAAGGTTATCATAATTTTATGGGTTCTCAAATGAATAAATGTATATATATATATATATATATATGTGTGTGTGTGTGTGTATGTATGTGTGTATATATATATATATATATATATATATATGTGTGTGTGTGTGTGTGGGGGGGGGGGTCTAATCAAATAAGAACTGATTAGTTTGTCATAACTGTGAGGTCTAATCTCAACCACAAATCAACGGATAAATTAGGAAAATAATAATTATGGTAGTTTGAGTTAAAATTATAATTAAAGGGTATATTAGGTATTTTTTAAAAACTTCTCTCTCCTCTCTCCTCTCCCCTCTCCAATCTCCGGCCTCCGGTGAAATCGATATCACAATATATCACAATGTGTATTACAATGGGTATCACATTGTGTATCTTTGTTTTTAAGGTTTGAGTTGATATCATAGTTGGTATCACAATGGTATCACAGTATATCACAATGGGTATCACATTGTGTATCTTTGTTTTTAAGGTTTGAGTTGATATCATAGTTGGTATCACAATGGTATCACAGTATATCACAATGGGTATCACATTGTGTATCTTTGTGATACTTGGTACTCGCTGGATTAATGTTCACCGAAGGCCGGAGATTGGAGGTCGGAGAGATGAGAGAGGAGAGAGGAGTTTCTTAAAAATACCTAAAATGTCCTCTAATTATAATTTTAACTCAAACTACCATAATTATTAATTTCCTAATTTATCCGTTGATTTGTGATTGAAATTGGATCTCACAGTTACCACAAACTAATCAGTTCTCACTTGAATAAGTATATATATATATATATATATATATATATATACACACACACACACAAATAGACTTGGGATCATGTGAGATAAGGTTGTTTTCGTGAGACGTAAGACACGATTTTTACACTTGAAACTTTAGCGCAAAACACTGTGAAAGTAACCTTCACAGTGTTTTTGTTGTGAAGATTCGACTTTTTTTTACCTAAACAACATTTTGTTGTGAAGTTTCAAGTGTAAAAATCGTATCTTACGAAAACAGTTTTGTCTCACATGAACCCAACCCTATATATACATTTATATGTATATACATTACATATATGTATATAACACATAGGGAAACCCCCTTTGAATTCAAAAATTCAAAAGAAATTGCTTCACTATTAGAATTCAAAAGACACTACAACAAAATCCTTAAATATGTCTAAATCAATTAATAGACAGTTTTATAACAATTGTACATCTTACATTCAGGTGTTACAATAAGTTTATAAACGTTTTTGTACGTCCTAACACATTTTTAAAAACACCTGAAATAAAGCCTCCCATTAGGCTTTTTATGCAACATTAAGTAGAACACTTCTCAAAAATATCATATAAAAAGCAAATGCGCCACTTTATTTCAAAAGTGTTGTTAAGATCCCCAAAAATACGTCATAACATCCGAGTATGACACCTTTACATAGGACACGACCATTTAATTAAGTCCTATAAAACAGTCTATTAGAATATTTAGACATATTTTACGAAAAAAGTAAGAAAGCCAACAAGATATCCAAACCAAACCCTCCTGATGGTATTAGAAGCAACTTTGATGTTTCACAACTAAGCAGTTTTAACAGAAAAGATGAAGTTCTTTAAGTACAAGGGAAAGAAAACTCATACAAACCGAGTTCGACTCACTGAGTTATGGTCCAAAAGATCTGCAGCTTAAGAGACACGATCGATCTTTCCATGGCGATTAGTTACGACTATATGGTATAAACTGTTGACTTTATTACCGACGCTTTTTTTCTAAGTTGAAACCGCTACACGGAAGATTCTATCTGGTGGTGCTCGAGGTTTCTGAGCACGATTCTTGCAAAAATCTTTGCTTCCAGTGGAGCCGAAGCGGCTGCGGCTGCAGCCCTCAGGACACGGGGTGCACCAGAGACTTGCAACAGGTTCACATGGTGGGGTGCATGCCGCCCACCCGGAACAGTAAACTGCAAATTTGAATCATAATAAGTTTAAATAGTTCCGATGTAAAATAAAGAGGATGTCAACGATTCGAGCTTTTAACGAGCTACTCGAGTACGGAAAGTGTCTTGATGTTGTTTTACCTGAAGTAGCGCAAATGCAGCACATGCCTTGAGCACGGGAGACTGATTACGTAACATGGCTACAAACCGTCCGATTTCAGCTCCGCTGAGGATATTAATAAAACACATCTAATTAAACACACGTTCACCGATCATCTTCAATGTAGCAATAAAAGAGGAGCCAAACTAAAGCCACAAATCAAACGAGCCCAATATATCCCACCTGGAGGTGGGGTTGCTTTGCAATGCGTTTGTTTCATACGTATTCGGTGCACAATGTGAAACTTTTTTACATGTATTTTTTGTTTCACAAACACGCCAAAAAGATTCACATTGTGAACCGGATACATGTGAAACAAACACATAGTAAAACAAATATATGTTAATCACTACATTAAATTCTAGCCATAGATTAAAAAAGACCATATGAAATAGCACATGATGAACCTGTTCTCAAATATCTAACGATTTAGAGAGTTCTCAAAAGAAGGTACTTTTAGGCTTATCATGAGATGTACTTTCGTCAAATATAAGATGACGGTTTTGTTTATCAGGGGCAATTTAGTCATTTTAGACCATATCCTAGCCACGTCTTTGTTTTTTACGACTAAACTGACCTTCACTATGGGAACTTCATAGTGCATGTGAATCTATAACATGAAGATTCTATCATGTCGGGCATTAATCACTTTAGACCTTATCCTAGCTTCCCGTTTGATTTTTAGGCCTAAATCAACCAAAATTTCCATCACTAACGATTAACTTCAAATTATACATACGGGCATTTAGTCTCCTTAGGTTGTATCAAGCTTTCCATAAGGTTTTTAGGCCGTACCCAAATTTCGTAGGTCTTAAATGACTATCATGCCCTTCACTAACTTCACATTATATACGGTGGATATCCAACATGGTAATTCAATTTGTGTACTTTGGGTATTATTTTTATCAATAAAAGAGGTGTGTACCCACACACATATAGGGAGGATCAAACGAGAATAAGGTCAAAATAAGAAAACAAGGTCAAAATAAGAGAACAAGAGAACGACCAAATCACATGTCATTTTGCACTGAAATCACATGTGAGTACGGAACACAGTCAACACAAGAATGTGCGAGCGAACTGGCTCGCAACCTATGTCGCGGCCAAGGTCGCACATATTTCGTGATTTTACACGTGAATTTAGTGTAAAATCACATGTAATTTGGTCCTTATCTTATTCTCTTATTTGGTCAATGTTCTCATTTGAACTCGACTCTCTTTCTCTCTCACTCTACGTATATATACATGTAGTGAGAGGTTCAAACAAGAACAGTAACTAAATAAGAGAACATGAAAATGGCCAAATCATGTGCAAAATCACATATGATTTCACACTAACAGTCAACGCAAGGAGGCTGTGTAGGCGACATGGCCGCAATCTCATGTCGCAGCCAAAGTCGCATGAATCACATGTGATTTTACACGTGATTTTAGTATAAAATCACATATGGTTTGACCATTTTCTTATTCCCTTATTTGGTTATTGTTCTCATATGAACCTGACTCTTTACATGTATGTATGTATATGTATATATATAGGGGCCTAACCAAATGTGAATTGATTAGTTTGTGGTAACCGTTAAGATAATTGTTAGTATATTTTAAATACTCATAAAGGGTAATTTGGTAAAAAAAATTGACAACTCAACAAATAATTAATAATCCCACTTTTTCTCATACGGCTCCCGTGCTACGTTCTTCGTCTCCAAGTTCTTTGGCCGCACCGATCTCATCAATTTCATCTCCTCCGTCCCAATCCACAAACGAAACGGTATACGCTATTCCAAATCCACATCCTAATATCCTAATTTTCATCATGATTTCTAATTGTTTCAGATTTTCGCCTTTGATTTTCGCAGCTCTGTTCCAATCACTCTTGTTTGAAGCGGTTGGCCGCACGGTGAATCCAGTCAACGGAGCTATCGGACTCCTTTCCACCGGAAACTGGCACCTGTCTTAGGGCGCAGTGAGGGCGGGACGGCGGTACGCCGACGGTTCTCATAAACAGTTTCCTTCATATTTCGGAAATTGGCGGACGTTCTGGAGTCTCCGAAACAGGCGGCACGTGGTCGGCAAAGATGATCAGGAACTAGATACCTTCCGACAAGTGTAGCATAACTAACGCGGCTCCATTGGCAAATATCAAGGTTGCGTAATCTGCCGCCGGCGATGAACAAAGTTTCTCGGCCTCCAACATATCAAAAGTGTTAATGAGTTTTTGTTGCAGCGACGGCGAAGGTCAAAACTGTTGAACCTTCTTGTATAAGTAGTTGAGCTTACAACCTAAATAAAATCATCGATCGATCGGCAACCGTATCCAGGTGAATACTACTTTTTTAGAATTAAAAATAATTAACCAAAACTTTAAAATGTGGACACAATCTTCTTGATTTTTTTGGTACGAGTTTTTGTAAATCACTCGCTTTCCGCCGATGAAATTTGGAGTCCGTAATCGGTGACGGCCGACGGGTGATTTAGAGAAATCGAAACCAGAAAACCATATTGAACACCGCTAATGGGGAGATGGAGCCACCGTTAGAAATCCATTTCAAACTTCATACTACATCGAAATCAGACCTAAAAACTCCATATCTCTATCTCCATCGAAATCAGATCTGAAAACTATTGTATGTATCAACATGAGGATCCAAGCGCTTCGGGTTTTAGATCGGAGCCGTAACCAATATCTCACCGGAGATATAGCACAGATGTCGCCGGAGATGTAACCCATATCTCGTCGGAGATATAACTCCGAAGATGTAACAATGGTATCACAGTGGTATCACAATGCATCTTATATGTGCTTAGGTATCACACCGAGGGTCGTTTGTGTGTATCTTTTTTTAACAGAGTCAATATTTTTAGGTATCACAGTGGAGGACGGAGGACGGAGAGAGAAGAGTTTTAAAATACCTAAAATGCCCTTCATTAAAATTTTAATTCAAAATTACCAAAATTATAAATTTCCTAATTTATCCATTTATTTGTGTTGAGATTCAATCTCACGGTTACCACAAACTAATCAGTTCTCCCTTGAATGGGCCCCTATGTGTGTGTATGTGTGTGTCTAAAAGAAAAATCAAGTAGAACCAAAAAAATATTGAGAACCGTGTATGAAACAACACCGACAAAATCATCTCACATGTGAACTAAAACATGCCCATACGTTTCATATATGAAAGACACAATTTACACAAACACACACACACAAAAACAACAATACCACCTTGAATCCTAGCCTAAAATGAAACTCAGGGTACGTTTGGTTTGTGTGATTTGGAATTGGATTCAAATCCAATCCAAGTTTGGTTTAAAGAAGAGTCCGGAATTGAAATCCCACAAACATCGGATTTAGAAATCACATTGGGGTAGTCGGTATTCCGTGAGGATTTTATAGGATTTGTTTGTAATAATGCTTTTAAAAAAATTTAAAAACGGTTGTTTTGTAATAATCAATTAATAGAAGGTATTTCAATTACTTTTATAATTGTTCATAATTTGTTTTAGAAATTATCTATAGAGAATGGAATTCAATTCCATTCCAATTCCACACACCAAGGGACTCCAAATCCTTCCACGATATCCAAATCCCTCAAAACCATCCCGTCAAACCAAATGGAACCTCATTGAATGGTTAGGATTGTTTGTCATGGTTCTCAACATTTTTGTGGTTCTCATTTGACTAATTTCTACGACATGTTCTCTACTAATAGTGCATGCATTGGAGGGGGACAAAGAGAGCATACCTGCATCGTAAATGACCTGCTTCAAGAATACGAGCCGAATCCGTTACTTGTGCCAATGGTGCAGGAGCCGATGATAAGGCGGCAGCAGAAAACGCTTGTGGGTCAGCAAACGTAAGCACAAAAGTTTCAATGTGCTTCAAGGCCATCCTCCTTGCCCTTTCTAACCCGACACTCTTCAAACTGCCTTCCGATGAACTCCCTATCAGTGCATATTCATCCATTCTGCACAAAATAACAAAACGATAAAAAATTGGCTTTTCTCAGTTAACATGTTACATTTTGTCTTATATGGAGTGCAGAAGAAACAAGGATGTTTCTCCTTAATGTTTACGTTGGAACCTCCATTCTCTCCTCAAAGGCTCTTTTTAATGGGATTCCACATATTCTCACATGATATCACATATCAGAACCAAGGTCTACCACTCTAGGGACTTCACAGTTTGGGATAATTTGTGCCCATCTAGCCTTAGCTGGTGGGAATGTGTTGGAATCCCACATCAGCTAGACTTGGACTCCATCCCCCCAATCCCACCTTGGGGTGGGGAGGGCAACACATCAATGTGGCCAAGATAATACACAATTGGAAACAATGTCGTACCTTCCATCAAACATGTAGGCCAAAGCCAAAGCAGCCATGAAACGAGCCATTTTTGATAATGACGAAGAACAAAGATGGATCAAGGCGGGAACACCCCCATCTTCCACTATACGAAGAGCATTGCCCGGGTTGAAAGCAAGATTCCAAAGGGCTCCTGCAGCAGTCTCGTGGACATCCTGATATCACACAAACATTTTTAAACGAAATCCATTTTTTTGAACATCATTATTTGTAGTCGAGAATTTAAAGACTAAAATTTTAGTAGCCGAAGCCGGGTCTCAAGCTATAGTGTATAATCATCTGTGCACTTTCTTAACAAGTATCACAATTTCAAGGAATAAAAAACATACATTTGTAGCAACTAGAAAGAGATAGATACACGCACCTCTGTCTGAGACCGAGCCAGCGATATGAGCGGTGCAACACCCCCTTCTCGTCCAATTGCAATGCTAGGAGAGATGAAATAGAATACATAGTGTTATGCACCAGAAAATCAGTAGAATATATGAGCAAGATCATATATTATTCAATAGATTTTCTGCAATTGCAATCTTTTTGTTATAACCTTGGGTGTCTAGACCAGCTTGGGCACAACAACTAGACTAATCCCATGGGACCTAAAGTTATCATGGCCTTGAGGGACTCGAACTAGTGACCACTAGAGAGCAAACGCAAGGCATCTTACTAAGCCCATGGGACCCTGAAATTAACCAAGAAAACCTCCGGTGGCCTTGAGGGGACTCGAACTAGTGACTACCAGGGAGCAAACACATGGCCTCTCGACTAATTCCATGGGACCTTGAAGTTAACAACTAGGAAAACCTCTGGTGGCCTTGAGGGGACTCGTACTAGTGACTAGCAGGGAGCACACCCATGGCATCTCGACTAATTCCACGGGACCTGAAGTTAACAACCAGGAATACCTCCTCTAGTGGCCTTGAGGGAACTCGAACCGGTGATCACTGGGGAGCAAGCCCAAGGGTGTCTTGGCTAATTCCAGGGGGCCTTGAAATTAGCAACCAAGAAAATATCTGGTGGCTTTGAGGGGACTCGAACTGGTGACCACCAAGGAGGAAACCCAAGGCATCTCGAGTAATCCCATGGGACCCTAAAGTTAACAACCAAGAAATCCTTTGGTGGCCTTGAGGGGACTCGAGCTAGTGACCACTGGGGAGCAAGCCCAAGGCGTCTTGACTAATTCCATGGGGCCTTGAAATTAAAAACCAGGAAAACCTCCGGTGGCCTTGAGGAGACTCGAAACTAGTGACTACTAGGGCGGGGAGCAAACCCTGCAGCCATCTCGACAAATCCCATGGGACCCTGAAATTAACAACCAAGAAACCCTCTGACCACCTTGAGGGGACTCGAACTAGTGACCACTAGGGAGCAAACCCAATGCATCTCAAGTAATCCCATGGGACCTTGAAGTCAGAAAAAGCTCTAGTGGCTTTGAGGGGACTCGAACTAGTGACCACAGGAGAGCAAACCCAAGGCATCTTGACTAATCCCATGGGAACCTGAAGGTAATAGCCATGAAAACCTCGAGTGGCCCAAAGGGACTCGAACTAGTGACCAGTAGGGAGCAAACCAAATGTCTTAACAATTGAGCTACCTCATATCGCTTGCAATTGTAGTCTTGCTACACTTGCACATTGAATTCTAACAATCAAATTCAAGAATAGGAACCCACTTTCCTGTCATCAAATTACTACTTCCATCCTTGAAGAAAAGAGTATGCATTTGGCATTCAATTGTCAAGTGAGCTACTCTTTAGCATTAAGATTGATATAAAATGGTTTAGCTTCACGTGCTTTGAAGGACAAATATATTTTTGGGCCTCATAGGTATACAAAAGATGCTCTAATTAAAAGTTGTTTTGGACGTTTTCAGAAAATAACAAAGAGGCGATCTCTACACATACCTATTGGCTTCTGAAACCGACAATCCCCATAGAGCACCTGCTGCTCTCTCCTGAAGACTCGGAGAAGCATTTGAACACGAGTGTGCAAGTGCAACCTGAAGAACCACATGAAAAAGTTAAACAGCTTACTGTGCATATTTTACGTACTAGGAAAAGAATAAAAGCAGACAAAAAACTAAGGGTACTTGAGCTGAGCCCGAGCCACGTGATTGCTCAGCTCATGAAAAAAATTGTGGTCCCGGGTCTAAAAGGTTTTCTAAAGTACATAAGTTTGGTCAAACATATTTACGAAACCAAACCAAGGGCCTGTTTGTTAGCAGTTTAATGAGCTTAATGGGATTCACAACTTATTCAGTCAGCCATACATGATTGTTTGGTAGTGGCTAAATAATATAGAAATTGGCATATTCAGTAAGCTTCTAGGGAGGAGCTTTATGCAGAAGGCGAAGTTTTTTTCCAAACTTTCCCCTCCCAATTAAAAAACACGCTCCTTCCATCTATGAAAAAATCGTTCCAAACAAAAACCTTCTCAATCTATACAGACAAACAGATTAATCCACACAGACAGGTTTATCTATACAGAACTTAATGGAAAACCAACCAAACATCGCTTAACCCAGTATATCCCAACAGAGGTAGGGTCTCCGGGGTAGGATGGGGTAAAAAGAATGAGAGAAAGGTGATAATATGCCACGAAGGGTGATCGCAAGTTCCAAAGATTCTGATGGTCTGAATTTATCTAACGATACAGGTTACTAGTCCAACATAATTTAAAGCGCAGATCATAGTTATTCTAATTTTATTAACATAAAATAGGCAATTAGATGCTATGATTGTTAATAACTCGTGCAAAACGAAGTGCTTCGCAAGTTGAACCCTTAAATTATGAGACAGGAACATAAACAGCAAAACTCTGGTTTTCATGTTCTTCTATGAATGTTATACTGCAAATACTTCCATTTTCATGATTGATAACGATATCAGATGGTGCAATAAGGGCAGCACTTCATTGAATAAAGACAATCGATATTTTAAAATATACCTTTCATGTGCACAGATTCGAATTTAAATGAAAAAGATTACAAAAGCAAGGGTTATAATGATGTTATGGAAATTAAACTTCCAAGGATCAAAACCTCATACCAAGGCTTCAACGCCACCAGCTGATGCAATCCCTTCTCGGTTTCTGTCGTCAAATGATAAATTCCACAATGCACCAGCTGCTTCTTGCCTGTTAAAGAATGGATTAGGTTTTACTATACAACAACATATGTCTAAAATGGTAATTGACAATGCCTATTTGAGGAATTTAAATTGTGTACGGTTTTACACCTAATCAGATGCAAACAAACAAAACCACAAAATTAGACGAATGAGGTTTTCTTTGTTGATATAAGATCTATGCTGTTAATTGCGGCACAATAGCGCTGCAATAGCAGTATGCAAAATATCGGTGGTCAAATAGCGGTACCGCTAATATCGGCGCAATTTAGTGCAATTTGACCAATATTTGGGGTCAAATTGCGGTCCGCAATAGCGCTATTTAGTTTGGGTTTTTTACTGGGCTTTATTTTTGAGTCTTTGACTTGGGGCAGTTGGGTTTTTTATTTTGATTTGGGATATGTTTTAATTTTAATCCGTTAACATAACAGTATAACAATTAACAATAACTTTCTTTCTATCAACAACCCAAGTTGGAACTTGGAAGGAAGTCGTAGGTTTTTCCAAGTTCAACAGCCTCTTCCACTCTTGGAAGGAAGTTGTTCATGAACACTTTTCCTATTTTGTTTTGTGAAACTTGTTTAAGTTGATGATTCGAGGTTAAAACTATATTTTTAATTAATGCATATGATATGTTTATGTATGCATACATACATATATATTTTTCTTAGAAATATTACGTGAACCGCTATTTTTGGACCGTATACCATCGCTATAACCGCTATTTCAAATATCGGTCCAGACTGCAATTTTGTATTTTGACCGCTATAACAGCATAGCATAAGATCTAATCGTATAAAGAATCGAAAGTGACACACTCTTTATAAAAGGGTTTAAGAACATGAAATGTCGCCCATTGACATTATTGTTAGAATTATATACGTAAAAATGAAGAAAAAGAAAGTCGGTAGGGCTCTTTCTCATTAGATATAACAAAATTCAGATGTATTCCTCTTAACTTCATGAGATTTCTAAGTGGTTCGTCCATTTTTGGACCAATGCAAACCCCCCGATTGAAGGACACAAAAAGGAAATCACATGAACGAATGAAAATCTGAGGTTCATATTACAACACCTGACACCATCATGTTGAGACCGAATAAGTAGAACAAGTGCTTCAAGAGCTCCGGTTTCTTGTCCCACAGCAGCATTGTTAGTGTTGCTATCTCCATGAGCTGCCAAATTAGCCAATGCACGAGCCGCCTAGAAGATAACCACAAATAAGAGAAGGCACACAAAGTTTGTATCTTTTGTCAAATTCTTGGTAATTTGTTTGATTTTGCATCAATGGCTTATAGTTGTGCTCACAATTTTCAATTGTATTTTTACTCAACTTCTTTTGTAAGCCGCATCCGCGGCCCGGGGGGGGGGGGGGGGGGGGGTCTTCTCGAGAACAGTCTCTCTGTCTCTTGAGATTGAGGTAATGTATGTGTACATCCTACCCCTCCCGGACCCTACCTCCAATTCCAAATGGGATATACTTTTGTTCGCCTACCTCCGGATGGGATATACTTGTGTTCGGTTTGGTTTGATTTGGTTTTACCAACCCTAACGAAACCAAGGACCCTAGGTGCGACCTTGAGGGCTAACTCTTAAGTCGCAAATAAGGGCCAGGACTTAAAGGCTCCTACCCATAGATCGTCAATTCAAGTCGCTTAAGGGGGAATGAGGATTTTCCTGGTTGTTCTGTTGAGGGACTCATGGGATTAATCGAGGGGCCACATGGTTACCAAAAAAAGGAGCCTTGGTGCACCATTGTTGCCTTTTTTAGTCTTGCTAGAGCAATTAACCAATCATAAAACTCATTTGCTAAGTGTAGGATTGAAAATTCTGTATTACCTGTTCTTGCACACCCTCGTGCTTGCATTTACGAGCAAGCGTTACTAAAGCATTAATACCACCGACATTTGCAACTTCCATGCTACACTTATCATCCGCTGCTAAATTCGCGAGTGCCCCAGCTGCTCGTTCCTGAAAATCAATAAATCTTTGATAAACACATCCCCCCGCCTTGAGAAAGACAAATATAGTGCTTACTATACTCTACACTTTCACAAATTCCTTCACCCTTTAGGTTACCCCATTTCTTTTTTTCATTTTGTAGTTTTAACTTATCTTTTTCTCAAACACCTTAATTGTGAACATAAAATTTCGAATTTGATGTCCAAATGAAATCCATTTGAGTTTGAAATCCAACCCATAAACATTTGACACAAAAAGGGGCTCAACCAGCAAATAAAGGCTAGGCCTTGGGATCCTCCCCATAGGTTGCCAGTTTGAGTCTCCTCCGGGCCACCAAGGATTTTCCCAGCTATTATCTCCCGGGCCCATGGGATTAGTTGCGGTGTGTGCAAGCTGGCCCAGACACCCGCAGTTACCCAAAAAAAAATCAAGGTACGTACCAGAACTCCATCACCACCTCTAGGCCATTTGAAGATTAAGTCAACTAAAGCTTTTATGCCACCAGCTTCCGCAATAGCTCCCTGAAACAAAATTAAAATTGTATTAATAATATGACAACATAAAAGTGGAAGTTCATACGCTCAACAAAACATCTAATAACAAACAACCTTGTGCTCTTCCCCAACAGAAAGATTCCAAAGCCCTCCGGCAGCCTCTTCAGCCACCAACCTGTTCATGGATCTTGCTAAGCTTGCAAGGATGGTGATGCCGCCACCTCCCGCCACGGATTTTGCAAAAGCAGGATTCACTGATAGATTTGCTATAGCCTACAAATATATATATATATATATATATATAGAGAGAGAGAGAGAGAGAGAGAATGTTAGACTTCTATTTTCAAAGAGTGGTCGACTTATGAAACCACCGTCCATGGCTTTTCATTTCAAACGAACCATCATTCTTGCGCAGATGAGAAAAGAAAGAAGATCACCCTTTGCAAGAATAAGCGATTTGAAGATAGCTCATTCTTGCAAACAGTAGTGGTTTTTTTCCAAGAATTCTCAATTTGCAACAAGAAACCAAGCATAAGATGGTTAAAAAGTCGATAGCTCTATTTTCTAATGATAATTACAATAAGTTCATTTATATTTTTTGTGTAAAATGAATCAATAAATGGTCAATAAATCATGGAAATTGCACCAAAAGATTCACCTTTGTGGCTTCCGATTGAAGCCCCTCCTTCCACGATCTTGCAAGGCCTAAAAGAAGTTGTATGCCCCCACCTTTCATGACCGCCTCAGCCCTTCCTACATCAACATTAGCATTTTCATCATCGATCACCACAAAAGTTGCAAGCCCCGTAGCAGCCCGTTCTTGAACATCCTCTTGAGAACTCTGCATTAAATTGAGCAAAAGATCGGCACCTTGACTGAGCCAGAATTGATCAAGACCATGTGGGTTACTCTCAGCTATTCGTAAAAGTGAATGTGAAAGAATCCATTCAAGCCAAGTCATAATCTCGTCCAAATTCTCGTCTTTCTTCTTCGATTCTTTTCTCCAATCCGAGAAAACGTCTCGTTCTTTCTCTGTGTCAGGAAACAGGGGAGATATGTCTTTAAAAGTATCGTTAAAGAAGCTAAGCAACATTTTTCCATGGGACTTGCTCTTGATTACAACACTGGTGTCTTCCTCTATGGACGAGCAATTGAACGCACACAATATTTTCAAACTCTTTAGTGAGGAAAAGAATCTCACAACCACATTCGGAACCACATCAGTTCTTGAAACATCTAATCCTTTCAAATTCGGCAACTTGCTCCAATGTTCACCGACCGAACCCCACTTCACATTTGTCGTTCCTGCAACAGAAAGAAACCGAAGGGATACGACATTGGCTAATGCCACTTCATCAATGTTAAGACAATCAATGAAACCAATTTCGGTCAGGTTCGGACAGTGCTTAGCTAAAGCGTTTACAGCCTCTCCGTTAACATCCCGGATCCCAGAAAGCCTAAGCTTACGTAGATTCGGGCAGCAAAACCCGATTGCCACAATTGCATCACTACTAACTCTTTCACAGAAATCAGGCCCAAGTTGGAGGCTCTCGAGAAGCTTGTGTCGAGCTACAATCACTGCAAGTGTAGAATCTGTTAGTTTCCTACAGTAATCGCCACTTAATTCTTTCAAATTCTTGGCTCGAAGATTGATTAGGGAATCAGCATTGTCGGCCCCACGAAAACGAAGCTTTTGGAGATTGGAACATCGGGAAGCCAATGAATCTGTTATACCCCAATCACACTTGTGAGCACGAAGATCCAAAGATTGCCATAAACAAGGAGAAGCGCCAAGAGATCTCCAACTTTTGCAAGTTGATGACAAATTTGCACGATCACGATAGTTCAAATGAGTAAACAGTTGAAGTACAGTATCATCAGGCAATCGGGTCCAATCAACAACTCCTTCTTCACTCAATTTCAAATTATCTGCATCCTCGGTTTCAGGGTAATTTGGTAAATCCAACCTTTGGCTTCCTCTTGCACACTTTCGTCGAACCCTACGATTCATCTCACAAATCCCCACACCAAACATCAAACCACCCACAAAAGGGCAGAAAACACACACACAAACACTAAAAATCCGATCTTTTTTCAACCCCAAATCATTATTTTTCTTAAGAACAACACTAACAATCAAACCAAGAACATCCAACACAAGAACCCTTCATCCTATATGCTATTGATCACAGAACACACCCAAAATTGGGGCTCAAAATCATCACTCATTGAAACCATATAGGGCACCCAATTATGAGCATTGATCAATCTCAAAACCCCAATTACCTAGCCAATATAGAAATGCCCTTTAAATAGCCTCAAGAACCCTACAATCGAACTAACGCAGGTACACAAGATAAAAGCGCAAACAGTAGGGCATACAATTATACAGATTTCACATCACACGGAACACATCAAGATTCCCCATCATCAGAATTGCAATAACATCGAATAGAAGTTGGTGAATTTCGCAAACCTGATGTGGGTTTTTCCACAAAACACCTTCAATTCGCAACGCCCATCAAGAAATCTATTACCTTTAGAGTAAATTGATTTCAAGAAGCTCAAATGGTGACGTTAGAGAGAGGTTTAGAGAGAGAAATGGCGGTGCAAAGAGAGAAAGAAGGGTCTAGAGGGAGAAGGAGGGGGACAAATGTGAGCAAGGGTCGGAGAGAATTCAGGTACTTGTGGTATCATCAAAGACGAGAATGAGAAACCAAAAGCCCAAACCCACAAGGGCTTGTAGTTTCATGTGATGTATGTGGGTGCCCAACTGAAAATTTTAGAAAATCACAAAGGACATTGATTGATTGATTGCTTTGATTTATTTTCCACATGACCAATGTGAATCAATGTCAATTGATGGTGTATCCTTAGCTTGGATTTTATAGTGCAAATTTAATTTCATGCTTTCTTTGGTTCTTGAAATTGGGCTTTTTAGGTAAACAATTTCATGTTATTTGAAATTTCTTGATACCTACGATCTTCTCTAATCAATTTGTGTAGATCTTTTTGTTATTGGAATGAAACTTTATGTTGTCTAATGTCGTAAACGTCTGAATGAAGATGATTTCACTTCGAAAAGGAACAGAGATTCAGCTGACTGAAAGTTCTAACGACTGTACCATGATAAGGCATCTGATTTGAACAACATGGTTTAGTTTGTAAAAGTTTTGGCCCATCTTGTCTGTACATTATCTGTAAGAATCAAACCTCTGAATTTAAGAATTAGATGGTTTAAGAAACAAAAATTATGTCGATAGATCCCGAGGCTTATGTAACGATCGGGGTTTGAGAGATAATGGTATCGCAAGAAGTCTTCTAGCACTCAACATCGTTTGCCAGGTTTGTTACCCCTTCTTCCACCATATAAGAGAGTCGAAGTTACGTCTTTGTATATGTTATTGATATAAAGGTGATTAAGAGGTTATTAAGGGATGATGCATACGTCTCGTTATGTTTGGATGTAATACGGAAGTCGCCAATCTTGTCAGTCGACAACGCTGTAATTGGATTTGGTGATCAAGAAACGAATGAGAATCTTTAGGTCGCAAACAGCTCCAGCAGGTCTTAAAAGTGTGCTCTGCTTGTATGTTTATCCAATCCTCTGTTTCAAATTTACCAAAACAGTGTGGATAGATGATGAAAGAAAACTGAGGACATGGAGGAACTTGATTATGATCCCTTTACCAAATGAAGGTCTACCAAGGGACTCTACGAGTTAAAGTTAAGATGATGGATGGCAGAGGATGCAGACTCTGTTGTTGGGAGCGGGATTCTGCATTATCATAGTTTTCATGGTTTTGAGCTGCCTTCAAACGATGCATCAAACCAGCCAATATGCAAAGACTTTCATGTCAATTAGAACGCCAATGCAATAGTTCCACGTACTCTCGAAGCGCCAAATCAGATTTTCAAAAGTCGACAACACATAACATACAACCTTGATCTGTGAACATAATACTTTACATTACAATTTTGGTTTTTCTATGTATCAACTATAACGCGCGCATAAAAGTGTTTTCTAAAGTGTAATCATCAAAACTAGTTTTTTAATTTATGAGACACCTTTATTTGTGGTTTTATACAGACTGAAAGACTAGATATCCCTTGCCTAATGTTCGAAGATTTCTGATGATAACTATCCACCTCTGAAAGTTTGACTTTGACTCAAAATCAACCATTTGAAATTGGACCAAAGTTGACCATACTTGGCATGTAGCATGTTGAAATGGATTATAAGTAAGATAATTTGAGATCAAAGGCTCAATTGGGCCGTGAATCACCTGCTAACCATCTTTGGTCGAGATTGGTCTGATATGTCTTCTACAATCAAATTTCAAGAGCAGATAATCGTATTAACAGGTAATTCTTTTAACATTGGTATTGATCTTGTTAATAGATTGGAAACCATGAAAACATGACCATTAATGCTAACCTTGATGTATATCATTACTGATATTTTAAAATAAGGAAAACAGAACACTGATTTTTGAATGAATTTATTAGTTCAGTTTAATGAAAAGTCAACGGTAACTCTATGAAAACTTCTTCTCCAACACATTGTTACTGTCAATCATTAAGTGCTCAAAATTTTATAAGAAAATAACATTTGGCTTTCTTAAAATAGAAACTTTCTAAAAAAGGATTTTTTATATCATTTAGAATTCAGAAATAACGGTCTAACATGTGCTACCTCGTTCATGATGTCGTGAGTCAAAATATATGTTCTGAAATTTATTTTAAGGAAGTCATTGTGTTCGGGATTTGAAGTTTAAGGCGGCGATTGGTTCACATAATGAAATTTGTCAGAAATGGAATCTAAATATAACTTCAAGATTATAATAAAATAACGATAAATACCAAAACTACCCCTTCATGATATTTTCGTTATTGCTTAATTAATAAATAATAGATAATAATATATGACAGTGGTGGCAGTAATGGTGGTAGTGATGACGATAGTGACAATAATGGTGGTGGTGGCGGCAGTAGTGGTAGTGGTATCGGCAAAGGTGGAGGCGACAATGGCGGGGGCGATGGTGGTAGTGTTGGTTGTGATAGTGGTAGAGATTAGGGATGGTGACTTGCCTCGAGTCGGTGGGGAACCCGGTTCACCCGACCCGAACGGGGATGGGGATTCCCCACTAAAACGGATCCCTGGGCCAGGGACAGGGATCCCGGTAGACTCAAACCGGGGACGGGGGATGTTATTCAAACTGGGGACGGGGTCGGGGCCAGGGATCCTAGTAGAATCAAACTAAAGGATGCTATTGATGGGGTTTGATCGGGGATTGACCGGGGTTTTACTGGGTTTTGCTAGAGATTTGACCGGGGAAGGGATGATATTCCCCGTACCCGCTAGGGACCGGGGCCGGGGGGTGTTACTACAAATCGGGGTCGGGGTCGGGGAATTACAAAACCCGCCCCATCTCCGCCCCGTTGCCATGCCTAGTAGAGGTGCCAGTGATGGTGATAGTGGTGGTGATGGAGGCGATGGTGGTGGTGGAATTCAAATTATTTACTAAAAACAAAGAAATATAAGGGGGTGTTTGGTTCACAAAATGGAATTTGATGGAATTGGAATCCATAAAAGGAATTTGACTTTGAAGGAACTGGAATGGAATTTAATAGAATTTGACTATGCGTTTGGTTGGTAGGAATTGGAATGAAATCTCTTAATAAAATTGGAACAATCATCTTTGTATGGACTATCCTATCCATCGCCCTTCCCACACCCTACCAGCCAACATGCCACTAATGTCGTCGTCACAACTATCACCCTCCCTGCCCCCACCACTTTCTGCCCTACCCTACTCCATAGGTGGGGATTGTTACGGGCAGGCAGGGTGGGGCGAGGCAATAGGGGTGAAGCCAGAGTGGGGCAATAGGTGGCAATGTGATAGTTGTGATGACTACAGTGGTAAGATGGTGGTTAGTGATAGGTTAGAGTAGGGTAAGGTAGGGTGGGGGCAAGGCAGGACGGTGGGGTAGGTAGCGGTAGGTGGCGGGGTGGTAGCTGTGATGATGCTAGTGGTGGGATAGTGGTCGGGAGGCTGGGGCCAGGGAGTGGGTGGGTATGATGACAATAATAGTGGCATGGTGTTTAGTGGTTGGTTGGGGCAGGTTGGGGTGCGGGTGAATGGAGGTTGTGAAGGCAACAATAGTAGTGTGGGGGTGGAAGGTTAGGTTAAGGGCGGCAGGGACGGGGAGGTGGGGATTAGTGACAGTTGTGACGATGATAATGGTGGGATGATGGTCAAGGTGATTGAGAGTGGGTAGGTATGGTGACAAAAGTAGTGACATAGTGGCTAGTGGTGGTTAGGGTAGGGTGCGGTAGGGTGAGTGGCAGTTGTGACGACGAAAATAATGTTGTTGTGGTGGGGGTTAGGTTAGGGGTGTAACAGTAACGTTAGTAGCATAGTCGTAGTAGGGATGTGTAGTGAGTGACCGGAGGGTGGGTGGCAGCGACATCAGTGGTGGGGGTTAAGGGTGGGGCATCATTAACAATAGTAGCATGATCATGGTGGGTGGTGATGGAATTCAATTTCTTCCATTATGCCAAGGAATGATGAATTCATTAACTTGTGGAATTCAATGGAATTTGAAGGATTCCATCCATTTCAAGAAATAAACCAAACAAAGGAATTGGAATTTGGTCAAAGGAATTTGTCATTCCAATTCCATCAAATTCCTTCGAATTCCGCGAAACGGCCCCTAAATTTAATCATATGTGGAATTGGAATCCCTACTAAAACTCATAGAATGAACCAACACATTATTAACATTTGGTCAATAGAATTGACCATTCCAATTTCATCAGATTCCAATTAACCAAACCCAACCTAAGTTATTGAACCTTCAAAAAGTTGTAAAAGTTCATGTATACAATTTTACTCGCCACAAGCAACTTGTATCAATTATCTTGTATACGAGACGTTTCTTCAAAATTTTATATGAAAAGTGTATAAATTGACATGCGACATACAATTTGAACTTCCACATAGAGCTAACTGAGATAGTTTGAAATGTGATTAATTATGAATTTACCATGCTTTTTATACCAACTAGTGATGTAAGAAACAGTTGAAACCTTAAAACTGGTGACAAACAATCACAATCGTATGCTTGACAATCACCGAACATGTTGTAGTTTGACGGAAAACAATTTCGTGGGTTTATGATGTTTATTGCTTGATACCTTCAGAAATAAGTACAATACCTGTTTTTGGAAAATAATCATCGTAATTAACTGTCTACCAGAATCTTGATTCAAAATTACTATCATGCTCGTTAATAACTACTACAAATTTATTGGTAAAACTGCAAGATTTCTATATTATGTCATTATATAAAAGGGCAATCCAAATATTTATCCAATAATCAAATATCAAATGGTAATTATGCCAGAGTAAATTACACTTTTGATCCATGTGGTATGTTCTTGTTATCATATTTTGTTGCCGGCCTTATTTAATAAATCGGTAGTCAATTTAGTAACGAAATACATATGGTCAACATTCATTCTCTTATTTTTCTTAAATACGTATCATTCTCGTATGAACCCAACTCTTTCCGAGAATAAATATGGATCATATATATCACTAAATAATACCTTGAATAATTAATTACATAGATAAATAAATAAGGCAATAAAAGTAATTTAGTTAT